ATAGCCTGGCTGCGTTGGTCGAAAGGTCCAGCTCTGGCCTTCGTAGTTGTTCAGATAGTAAAGCACTAGTTCGCAGCCGTACTGAACCCACACCGATGACATTTTGTCTGAACCGTAAGGTGCCGCGGCGAAGTTGATCGAAGTATCCTTCTGCCATTCGAAATAATCACCGGTATAGTCATAGTTATCCCAGGCTTTGGCGCACGGGAAGGTCTTGCTGCTGCGCGGCAACGAATCCGAGCTGGCCGTCTGCACTTTCACAGCGGACAACAGGTCGGCAACCGACGCGGCGGGTTTATAGGTCCGCAGTTGGCTAAATAACGCTCCGGGTCCGGGCTGCGTAGCGGAAGCGGCATAGACTGCGGTTAAGGCAACAAGGAGGCGCAACATTTTTAGAAATGTGTGCGGTACCGAAGTAGAGAGAATTTAAGGATAAAACTGCGGTACAAATACAATCCATAAAATTTTTGTTGCTTTTATACTTATGCGTAATCAATAATTGTGTCGTATCTGTAATCTTGGCACCGCACCCGTCATTGTGCGTCGAAGATTATCTGCTCTCTTTGCGCACAGTGGTATTCATTTTCGCGTGGAAAATTGACAGGATTGCTTCTGCTAACGCACCGTATCAGCACACATACGGCTGGCTTAAGGATGGGCATTGTTGCGCTATCGGGTGCTCCGTGAAGTGAAGTGAAGTGAAGTGAAGTTTATTGTCCTTGCAACGAGGCGATTGCCCCCTCTAGGCTTCAGACAGCAGAAAGAAAACAGAGTGTAGAAACAATATCCAGAAATATAAACATGAAAACATGAAGGTCTTTTAAAACAAGCAGGAAACAAAACAAGCAAAGTAACACGCGTTGGCCATTAGCACATGAATAGGCAGAAAGGAAGTGAGTACTTTTACTGCGGTTGCGAAAAGTCGTTTTTACCAATGTGGAAAAAGGGAGGGAGACGATCGCGCTGGGGTCGATGCGTAAAACCGAAACCCACGAAATGTACAAAGTAATTATTAAGTTTCTCAAAATTTTCAAAAGAAAACCGTGGGGAAAAGGAAAGCACCGACACTTACGCACGTAATCGCCTTGTACTATCGTTGTCAACTATATCGCAACCGTGAAATAATTGCAGGAAAGAAAGAGAAGTTGACACCAAACATTAAGTAACTTCACAAACAATAAATATTCGAGTAAAAAAACATTTAAACAAGAGTTTTCACTTTTAACACTTTCTTTCAAGATCTTTACTGATGGCAAATTGTTCAGTTTCACGGTATTCAGGGCTTCGGTAAAGGTGGCCAGCGTTACATACGCAATGGATTGTAGCGGAAGGTCATTCCAGACGGACACGAGTCTGTTGAGATATGATTCATGGGTGACTGGAACTGTTCTACCACAAATGGTTGTTGGAGCCGGTTTGATAGGACATGGATGCTTCAGGAGACGGTCAGATGTTCTGGTGTTACCTGCAACAGACTCAAGCACAGCAGCCGAGAGCGTGAGCGGTGATACGATTTGGTCACCCAACGGAATTACTTGGAACACCAATTTGTAAATAAACAACAAGGCTTTTTTCAAACGACGTATGCTTAGATCGTCCCATTTTAGCTCTTTAGCCGTTTGTTGTAATTCAGGACACCGTTGCCTAAGCGTAGGGTTTTGGTAAATCTTCTTTGACAACGTTCGATTATTTTTCTTGACTGTTTCAGCACCGGATGCGTTAGGGAGCAGCAGTAATCGAGAACTGAGAGGACGAGTGATTCGAAAAGCCGAATGCGAGCCCCGTAGTCCGTGTATCGAAAAACATGATTAATGTAGCCAATTCTTTGGTTACATTTTTTTGCTACATTTTCACTGTTAACTTTAAAATTAAGTTTTCGATCAACAGACACTCCAAGGTGCTTAACATGATCACATTTCGGAACGGGAACGTCATTTATACTGTACTGGAATGGTGAGATCTTATCTTTTTTCTTCGAGAAATGAACATGGGCAGATTTACTGGGATTGAGAATCAGCTGCTTGGTGTTAAGCCATTCATTCAAATTTTTCAGGTCTCCCTGCAGCAACTGGCTATCTGTAGTGTTGGTAACAGGACGTAGCAGAACAATGTCGTCCGCGAAAACGTACACAGCGCTTCCGTTTTTCAGTGCACGAATAATGAAATTTAGGACGCATATGAACAGTAAAGGTCCCAACACAGAACCCTGAGGTACGCCGCTGTACACTGGTAGTTCATCGGAGATTTCGTTATCAACAACGACACGTTGCAGGCGGTTTTTCAAATAGTCAGAAATTAGGTGCACAATCTGACTAGGGAGATTCATTTCGGTTAACGCACTGATTATTGATTCGTGAGAAAGCTTATCGAAAGCTTTAGAACAGTCCAAAAATACGGCGTCTACAGCAATACCGTTATTAATAAAATCGTTAACAGTTTTAACAAAAAGAAAGAGCTGTAATTCAGTTGATCTTTTATGCCGGTAAGCAAACTGATGGTCGAAAAGAATTTTATTTTTATTTAAGTGATCACGAATTAGTTGGTCAAGACATCGCTCAAAAATTTTCGAAACAGGGTTCAACATCGACACTGGTCTGTAACTGCCCGGTTTTCTGTGATCTGTTGCAACCTTCGGCACCGGGGTGATGTAAGATTGCTTCCATCTTGCAGGAAACTGACCCTCGTTAATAGCAGCACTGAATACCAATTTAAGCGGAGCGATGATTGACGGCGCAGCAATTTTAAGAAGCTTGTTTGTTATTTCGAATTTTCCGCTAGATGTTGTAACAGAAATTTTTGCTAATTGTTCGAAAATTAAAAGTTCTGAGATTTCCCAAATTTCATTGTTATTACAAATTAAATTTAAGTTCGAGCCACTACAGTGCCCATCGCACGGAGACTGAGAATCACGGTATAAAGAGTTCAGAGTATCTGCCTTATCCCTGTCCGTAGTTACTAGTTTGCCATCGCCAACGTTGAGCGGTGGCATACCGATTCGGCCATTTAACGACTTCATGTACCGCCAAAATTTCGAAGGATTATTTCTATAAGCCGTAGATACATCACTAAGCTTATGCTGGCCGAACTTCCTGATAAGAGAGGTACATTTTTAGAAAGATTTTTCCATTTTATTTTTCGTCAGCCGACTTTATGTTTTCACGGTACAATCTAAAAGCACGATCTCTCGAATTAATTATTTTTTAATGTTTCTGGGATATTTCATAGATCCTTTACGTATTTTTACTTCGGCATATGTAAAAACGATCTAGCAATCTCAAGAAAGGTTTTTCGAATTTTTCCGCACGCTGGTTAGCATTAAGGTTAGCGAACAGGTTTGTCCAATCAACAGCTTTAAGCCCATCATTAAAATTACTAATAAGGTTACTCTCAATTTTCCACCGCATTACTGTACGGAATCTTCTCCGAAACTTTTTAACTTTTAAAAAAAATTCAAAACCAATATGATCATTGGAAGAAGAGGGCGGACAAATCGGCTTAGCTGGTTCGAATAGCGCGTTTGCACTTATCAAGCACAAATCAAGACAATTTTGCTCTCTAGTTGGAAAGTCGATTATTTGCGCTAATCCGAATTCTTTTACCGCATTTAACAATTCCCTGCTGGCTGGTCTAATTGCTGTTTTATTTGACCAGTTGATATCGGGCCGATTAAAATCACCCAAAATTACACACCTTGCAAACAATTGAGGAGAGAAATTAGAACGCAGATGTTCAATTAGGGCAGGGACAGCGTGCATGCATTTATCTGGAGACGAATAGAAGGCAATAAAAATTCGCTTGAGTGACCGAGATTCTACACACAAAATTTCCAGTGCAGGTGACTCTAGCTCCGGCCTGTGAATCGCTCGTAAAGAATTGCGTATAACAATGGCCACACCGCCACGACCATCAGCTCTAGCTTTTCGAAAGACAATAAAATTATCTAGGTCAGCAAAACAGGAATCTGTCGTAGAAGGCCTGTCGTGAGTTTCAGTAAGAATGGTCACATCACTGCCTGAACAGAATAATTTTACTTCGTCTTTTTTGTTGCTAACGCTATTCACATTACAACACCGCACACGGATGTTTTCTAAAGAAGACGGATGTTTCGGCTGCCCTACAACTTCGGCATGATCAGTAATTTTAAAATTATTCAAATAAGCAAGATCGTTAGTTTCAAAAGTCCCTAACACGTGACCGTGTTTGTCCTTAACCCTGGCACGTGTTTACATCCATTATTTTCCCGGTTTCATTAGTGGGTCTTTGCAATTGTAGTTGATCCATTTTGCATGAAATCTTATCAAATGTGGGAAGGTGTGCGTGCGGGTAGTTTACCATACTGTAATACCTACATATAGGTTATGTGTTCACAACGTTTATGTAGGTATTAACATCTATTAACACCTTTTTGTATCGAAAATGGGTTGCAATAAAATCAATGTTCGCAGAATATTTTATATAATTGTGAATTTCTATCTTCTGTTCTTTTAGTTACGTAGTTTTGGTACAAACTACAAAGTAGTCTGATTCATTCATCTGCAGTTTAATATTTCTTCTCTCTTCATCTACCCTGAGTCTCTTTTTCTTCTCTTTCTTTCTTTCCCTCTGAGTCCGAAGTGAAAAACTACTGTTTATTGCTGGCATTGGCCGTATCGCAAAGATGACCTTGTTTCAAAACGAGGTGACGAGAAGTAAATAAGTGGTGCTTTACTATTTAATTTTCTACAGTAATTCCACAGTGTGCACTACTACTATAAACAATCGTTGTTTACATAAGAAGTTAAGAAATACAGCACTAACCATGGGCCGACGGCCGTGGGTTGCCAGGCCCATGTCTGTTTTGCCATTGTAAAATTAAGTACTGTCCCTCACAGACCGCAACGTTACGAACAAGTATTACGTACTTTCCTAGGCAACTGCGTGCTGCATACTAATATTATGGTGTTGCAGTCGGCACCTTTAGCCGAAAATAATATATCAATGGCGTTTTTATCTCATGCTATTGGCCTGTCACCGCCTGTCTGTCAGCCTTTTACAACAGCGATCGCAAAGCTATGTAAAGTACAACGGTTCTAAAGTAAAATATAAAGCGAAGCTGTCTATGTAGGTGTTCTTCGGTTAGATAAATGGCACTTTGAATCAAATAATCATTCCTGCATCCAGTGCGATGCGTTAGACCACCGGCTGATAACAGCATTATCATTCTATTCTTCGTTATATGCCTCAAAGACCGATTGCTGATTCGCTGGAGACAACGTACATATTCGTAGATGCTTCCCCCTGCGCGAAAGAGAGAGCTCCAAACAAGAAGTATGCCATGCAGTTCTGGATATGGGATGCTGTGGCCGTTGTCTGTGTGATTCACATCACATACATGTACCCTGTTACGGCATTCTGGTGTTTCTTCTGTGAGAACGTCACGGAATGTACTAGCACGCAAACGAGAATGCGCAACTGCACAGAGGAGCGACATTGTCAGACAATATTTACAAACGGTATGCTTGTAAGCCTTTATCTGTAGATTAATTTTCATACTACAAGCTGACAAGATACTGCTCGCATTAAATGAAATAAAAGCGAATCAGTGATTATTTTGAACTCAGGTCATGCATGGTCATGCACCACAAGGGATAACGTAACAAATTGCGATTTTGGTAAACAGTACGCGCTAAGCGCTATTAATCGCATGTGCACAATTTCGACAATATTGTGTTTTTCAGTAGCAGCCAGCAAACTAGCGTGACCTTTTAATTTTACCGTCAGGTGTGGCAAGCTACAGTAACTGCTCGTCGAAATGGGGACTGACAGCCGCCTGCAAACATAGTGTCGCAAACGAGGGCGATGTGTGCGTGTGTAACGTCCAACGCGAAGGACAACTGTGCAACAAGTACCGCCATTTAGAAGGTACAGTACACGCATGTACAAAGCCTGTATACGCTCACCATCTACCATCTGCGCGGTGCCTCTCATAGAAAATTACAACAGCATTTTGTTCTTCAACCGCGGTATATGAATATCGGTTACCAAGCGTTCCCGCTCTTTTGCAGAAGTTCCGTATTATAAACCGAAAGAAGCCGAAAATGGCGATATTTCTCTGCCGTCCAGCTTGTGGATACAATGGGGGATTTGGTTGTGGTTGATGGTTATTTGATTGTAGGGTGATGTGCTTAGCGTTCGTGGCAGAATCCTTTTGCGGGAATGACGTAACTTACGTTTACCACGTCGCTCTGTGAAGCAGCTGCTGTACGTTTTGTTTAAATTTTAATCTGTGATTACGAGGCCAAAACAAGATGGATTAAATGACAGGAATGTCTTGAAGTATTAAATTTGTTGAACTGAACTACATACATAAACAGAGGTGCGTACAGATATACATGTAGTATTTTCAATCGCCGTACCGGGATTAATTTTTGGTAAGGGCAAACGCCAAACACATGTCATCGAAACGGGGGTCAATCCCGCAAGCCACATGACTTGGCTTATTTTTGCACCTGAAACCTGTCGGTAGCCACAAAAATTAATATCGTATTCCACTACGCAGAGCTTCTTGAAGCATTTATTATACAATTCATACGTCACACCGCAGTACTTATTAGCTAATTCCATCATTCGTAATTCTGATTTCCATCTTTGACATAACGAATGATGTAAATCGGGCAATCGATTAATATTAATTTACTGGGACATTTAAACCCAGAAACCCTTTCCACACAAATAAGCACCGGTGCGTTACTATAAATTATAAATAACGTCTTAGCTGAAACGCCATCTGCATGATTGGAAGAGCAACCTTCACTTAAGAAACTAGTTTTAAATATTCATAGCGTCTTCTGCCATTTTCCATGGCGTGACTACGCTTATCTTGAAAATCAGGTGCTGCATTCAATATTCGGCTTCAGAGCATATCGCATAAAGAGCGTAGCACAGTTTTGACGGGCGGTGGAAGTCCAACATCTGATTCCTGATGCTGAAAGTCTATGTGGTGTCCGCACTGTCCGGTAAGCGATAAGACAAATTAGTTGTATCGATTTTTGTATGTCAAGCAAGTACGGTGTGTGTTATAATATTTGTACAGGAAAATATGCAGCATACTGATGGGCTCGGAAGTTGTGCTTGTTTGTCTCTTTCTTTTCAAAAATTGCTGCATAAAATCTTCAATTAATTTCGACCAAAGGTTGGCATTTTTTTTAATCCTGTTCTCATATATTTGAAATTTCGATTTCGATACCTCCTTAGAAGCGCTGATAATGATCAACCAGTTCAGCAACGTTTTTACTCTTTATAACGTGAAGTATGTCGTACATTCTTGGTAATAATAAAAAAGGATGCCGAGAACATTATTATTAAATGTTTTGTATTAAACTTGAGAAAATTAAAATTCAAGCACTTACATAGCATTAACGCGTGAGTAACTCTCTTTCAAATTAATATTCCGCGGCGATTAGCGCGTAAAGGCGGTATGACGCATTTGATTTGCTTAATTACGCAGTAAATAACGCCACTTTAACGCATTTAACCAGATCAAGACGGTAAGGAAAGCTGTGATGCATGTAAAACGCCTACCCTTTTGCCTGCGTAAAAGTCTTATTAAAAATATATATGTATCGATAAATATCTTGCTCCAGCAAATAGCCTGCAGAAAGGTCAACGGGCATGATTGTCCCTGTTTACGGGTAAGTGATTGATTCCTGTGGGATCACTGAGCCCATCCGGCGGCGACCATCCCCGATGTTTATCCGAAGAGCATGTTTTTGCCGTACAGATTTATCGTTGAATCGGTGATTCATGTCTTCGTGATTCCCTGTCTCGTCTTAAGGATTAAGTCAGACCGAACACTACGAATACCCTCAGTTCTATTAAGAATTTTACATCACCTCTTATTTCCAGCTATGTTCTTTGTTAAGGCCAACCGAAAAGCGAGCATTTTAATTCTGCTTACGTCTTTTCATGGAAGAAAAATCTTTTATATGGAAATTCCGTGGCGACTGGTCTTGGTGAGAGAAAGCCGCGCACCTGCCCATCGAAAGGCTTCCTGAACTGCTGATTCAGCAGGATATTTTGGGGCAGGCTGATCTTCCACGTGAAAGAGGACGCTCTCAATAGAATCGGTTCTATCCCGTGGTCTCGTTAAAATTTAATCGTGTTAATATACATAAAACCAGACCGGCATTTAAAATTGGATGGAAAATTTTAATGACTTCACTGACCTTACAAGATTCTGCCCGGATATATAAATGTTCCACATACTTCGACTAAAGATTCTCCTGACGAAGTGCCTCAACTGTAAACCAGCACAATGTCCGACGCTGCCGGAACCAACCGCTCCACCAATTCCACCGTCCGCAACGCGACCATCCCGAAATCCCTCTTCGCCTTTGTCCGCGCCGACTTTGATGCTTTCTTCATCTTTACCTTAGTCATATGTTCCGTGGGCACGATTCTTTTCGCACTACTTCTAGCCACTCTCCTGAATCAGCGCAAACTCTTCCACGGCTCCCGCTATCTCATCATGAACCAGCTGGTAGTGGAAATGCTGCTGCTGGGCTTCCACCTCCCGGCGGCGGTCATCGGGGCGTACGACGCGGAGATCCACAACAGCATGCGGGTGTTCTTCAACGAGAGCTTCTGTTTCTGGCAGACCTTCCTCTTTAAATCCGCTATTGCCAGCAGCATGTGGGGGCTGTTTGCGCTAGCCCTGAATCGATTAATAGCGGTGTGGGTGCGAACCCCGGGTCAGTACGAGTATTGGTCCCGACCCAGTATCCAGTGGGCGCAGGTCATCTTCATCTGGGTCATCGGATTTGCGTGCCAACTGTACTTTGCACTGTGGAGTTATGCCGCGACCTTTGCCGCGATATTCCCGCTGCGGCAGTGCCGGACATACGGGACAGTGTCGTTGGATGTCGGGCAGAGTTTGGGGATCTATGTGCCGTTGGCCGGTACGGCGCTGGTGTATATGGTCCTCATTGCGAAACTGTTGGCGCATAAGCTGCGGAAGAAGAGAGGAACGGTGCAGGTTGGGCAGCAACCGGCACCCGATAAAACGATGGTTAACCGGCGTATCCTACTGGCAAAGGTAGATTACTTTTCGCACTATAAATAACTGCGGCAGTGGCAGTAAATCTTTTTTGCCAATTCGACTACGAGTTCAACGAAAGCACCTGTACATATGACGGTTAAAACAAATCGTTCTTCATTGCTAATATAGGTTAAGAAATTTCTGTCCTGTCTTTATTAAAAATTAATTCGATGCAAAAAATACCGATTTTGAAAAGGGCGTTTCATGGGAACATTAGATTAGGGACTACTCAGAAATGGAAGCAGTGATGGGACAGCAAGCACCGGTTTATTAGGAATCCGACGCAGCTGGCACACCTTATGCATGATTATGGAGCTTAAATAAAAAGCTGTCTCTTGTATGTGGTTAAAGATCATGTATTCATTTTGCAGGTATTGTGCACCACCGCCTTCATCCACTGCGTTGCGTTCTTACTGTACCCGGTGTTTAACATGGCCAACGGCGGCCGTCCCGTGGGTACCCCCGTCACCGGGCTGTGGTTCCGTACGGCGTTTCACATTGGTCAGCTCTCGACACCGGTATGAATGTTGGATGCGTTAAGAATAAGACTGATTTAACCGTATCTGCGAGAAATATCGTCATGTTCTCCTTGTAGATAACATTCTTCGTCATGAGCCATGACTGCCGCAAGGCGCTGAAACGTCTGCTACATTTGGGACGACAGGAAGAAGACAGTCACACCTACATGTCGGGAGCGACAGGAGGAACAGGGCACAGCCACTCCGGGCATAAAAAGCTACAGCACAGTCACGGAACTGCGAAATCTGATACAAAAGTTTAGACCAAACGGATGTTGTTTATCGGTGATGATTCCAAATTTATTATTCTTTAGCCGATCCAATGAACCTGCTGCCGTTATAATGCCACATGCGCTGCGCAAACCAAGCATATACGTGACGTGCAGACACAGTCCCAGTGCGTGAGCATTGTTATTTTTGATGAATATTGACGGCGTTCTACATTTTGCAATAATGCGGGTAGCCTAGTTTCGTGTGCATTGCCAATTATATTACCAATCCTGTAAATAATGATATTACCTAGCTAATGCTAATGCCGTGTTATGACATGTACAGAATAATATTATCGTCTGTACGTGCAGATCTTGTGGCTGACAGTGAAAACACGTCGTTGATATAATGATAACCCGCGTAATGCGTGTCTCCGGAGACCTTTACGAGAGCGCTGCTGGAATTAAATATGGCGAACACATTACGTGCGGTTGTTGCACTTGCCTTACAAGTTTGCGTGCTTGCTGTATAGACCCGTGGTTCAAAAAGCTTCCAAAGTCATGGTGTTACCGGATAGGAATAATAATATTTAGAAAATAAATTTGCTCAGTGTATGCTACTGGCCAGCTCGGATGGCAAAGTGCGGCCTAACATTATAATAGTTAGCTGTTATTATTGTGTGAGATTTCAGTGGAAAATTTGTTTAATTATTATAACCCGTACTGGATTCGCCGTTGGTTTTATTTTGGGGCGCTAAGCCGGTATGGTACTGCAATATCAGATTCACAGCATTCTTTTCCGATTTTAAAATGAATTTAAAAAATTTTAAAATTCATTTTAAAATTATAGGAGCCTCGAATTGGTTCACTTTCGACTTTATGGCCATGTGTCTTTTACAGCAAAGTTCCAAGAAGATCGGGTAATAACCAGACTTTTGGTACACAGCTATGCTGTTTAACTTTTCTCCCATTTCAGTTTGCCATATCTCGGCAACCGGATGTCGCGCGCACAAACGGTTTTCGGAACAATGTATACAAATCATTCAGCTTTAGAATAACATAAAATACTACAAAATGTCACCGGAGTGCGCGAAAGCGAAAGTTTCAGCATATGTATACCATTTTTGACACCATGTACCGGGCCATTTCTTTTAGAACAGCTGCAGGAACGGTTGTGTTGTATACTTTCTGTAATTACCTATTTGAAAGATGTTATTTTCTGTGTTTCTACGGCCTCGTGTTTCTAGCTGCGATGACACGGCACAGTATTGTCGCATGAGTATGCGGCACTATAAGACAAGATTAAAAGAGAACTGTATTTCAACCAACTGAACCAAGTTATCGTTAACCAAGAAATTTCATTAAGCACATCAGAATGTACATTTTACAGAAAGTACGCAAAGGTCGAAGTGCGCAAAGGTCGGCATATGAGCATAAGCTTATGGACTAAATTAACCGAAATACACCGAGATACAGTGCGAGTAAACAGAAAACAAAACACGCATACACGCGAACAGCAAAAGTTGATGTTACCCCGGTATGTTTGACGTATTCCCATATGAAAGGCAGTAGGTATGTAAGTTTTTCGCAATGTCGCAACAACGAAAGGGAAATATCCTGAATTTTGGTTGTCTTTCCAATGTTTAAACTTTAACTATCGAGTAGAACAACCGCGCGCTTTTTTGTTAACTGCATGGCTGTTGCCTGGTAAAAAGATATCGGAATTACATAAATAACGGGAAAACATGGAACTATCGGAAATGCATGACATTAATGGTGGTGCGATGAAGGGACGTGGGAAGAATTGGTTCCTTTGCTGTTGGGACTGCCCGTGTTATTTGTGTGCCCAGAGACGTATACAACGCTGACCTCGCCCTCCGGCGCCACCAAGGCTTTCAGAGCTTTACGGCAATCCCGGCTCATAATGAAAAACGTAATCTGCGAAAGGCCAACCGTTCACCAATTGAAATAATCATGCTAGCGCCATGTACGCTTGTGTATTTAGCTGAAGAAATTAACTAAGAATTCAATAGAACAGGATTTGTTTCGGTGCATGGACAAATTAATACAGCATTCGTTATTTGAAGTTTTGGCAAATGTTGGTCTGTTGTCATGACCCGCTTACCGGTGTCGACAATTGCCCAGCATGGAACGCCGTGCGGAACCACAGCCCCATCACCGGATTAGTAATGGGTCTTCCCTGGGCGATCATCAGGGTGACCGGGTACAAGAGGAAAGCCACGCTGTGAATCGTGGCGGTAACGCACAACACTTTAGCCAGTAGGATACGCCGGTTCTGGCTGGACTGTTCGGCTGCGCTGGCCTGGCTGGTGCGGTTGCGACGCATCTTCAGGAGCAGGAGTTTACTGGTCAGCAGAACATAGATGCCGGCAGTGAAGCCTAAAGGAACGTAGATACCCACGGTCTGCGCCACGTCGAGAGCTTTATAGGGCAAGGTGCGGCACTGGCGTAAGGGAAAGATGGTTGGGACCGTGGCGGGACCTTCGGGGTTGATGAAGAAATATAGATGGACAGAAAAGCCGACTACCCACGCTATGAAAACCTATCAAAAAATTGGCTTAATCATAGTGCGCGTCAATTTTTTAAAAGATGAATACTAAAAAATTAATTTATAAATTAGTACTGAATACATGCAAAGGTCAACTTATGTAAGGTAAAGTCACAAATACAAATAAGAATTTGAATTTACGAGAGGCTTTTTTGTCTGTCACGCATTTGCTATAAAAAACTTTTGTCTTGCGAGTTATGTAGATAAAGTAAGCTTTGCATTTACGAGCAGATAAATATTTACCTCTGTCAACTGGACAAATTTGGATGACCAGATCTCATACTGTCGCGGTCCGCGCGCATTAACAGCGATGAACCGGTTAACGGCCAGCGCCAACAATCCCCACATACTGGTGACATTGGCACATTTGTAGAAAAATGTTTGATAAAAGCAGAAGGTGTCGTTGAAAAATAAACTGTATCCGCCGTTCAGTTCTGCCACGAAGGCGCCGATCGTCGCTGCAGGTAGATGGAAACAGACTAAACTCATCTCTACGATCAGCTGACTGATAATCAGATACCGGGAACCGTGAAAGAGTTTGGGCTGCTTGAGTAAAATGGTTAAGAACAGAGAAAATAGCACCGCACCGGCGCTGCAAATTAATATGGTGGCCACGAAAAAGACGTCGAACTCTGTGCGGTACAGCGCAAACATGGACCTTTTCGGCAGCAGAGTAGTGGAATTTTGCGTTTGATTCATTTTGAAATGCTAAACGCCGCAGCAGTTGTACAATATCACCGGTGACCTTTGCCTATGAATTGTGCGATAATAAAATATTATTATTAATTAACGGCAATATAAAGAAATTTCTTGAACGATTTATTCCTTCAGAGTACCGCTGTATGCATAATGCTTTCTCGAACGATTCTGTCGTTTATAACGCCATTATATACATAATTCATGAAACAGGTGCAGTCTTCAGGGAAAACAATGGACGCACATAAGAATGCACATCCGTTTCTGTAAAGTCATACCGACGATCAGAAAAGGATTAAATTTTGCGAGGAATTTTACAAGCATCTTGAAAGGGAGAATTAAAGCAGAGATTAAAATGTTTGTGAGAAATATGAATGTGAGCAGAGATTAAAATGCTTGTGAGAAATATACGTTGGTCTAGGCTCTCCAGTGGGACAGCATGGAGCTGTTCGTGTGGCCTTTATCCAACGAATTCGAAACACGTCTTTGAGGCAGTGAATCAGTGGAAAAATATTATATCGTCACATATTACATCATCACGGGCCTGTTGGGCGCTTTTGCGGTCTATTAATATACGGACAAATACGTTAAAAATTTAACTCAAGGAAATTAATCTCACTTTACATGCAAAAAATACAATAGTACGATAAGGTCTCGTCCAGTCTGTGATTCGCGAGGAATAAATTCTCTTTTTTTGGTCTATAATACCTGACTACAGTTATGGCCATTGTCAGTTAAACTAGCTAGCTCCAAGAATAATTTTTACTGGTACGTATCTGACCTAGCCATGCAAAACACAAACAAAACAAAACCAACACAACAAAACCAGCACAACAAAACAAAGCACAGCAAAACAAACACGTGCGCACGGTTAGCAAAGCACATGTGCACAGTACCTTGTGTAAGCTTTAATTGTCCATGTAGAAAACGTCTCGCGTACTATGTTTTACTGGCGCTAGAAGATACTGTTAGGCACATACGCAGAGTTGGACATCAGACGATGCCGGCTATCAATCGGTATGCATACGTCTTATTGGTTAACCGGGAAGAAATTCCTCTTGGGGAAGAAGCGCTCGCGATGTTCAAGTCTGGTGTCTGTGCATCGTATATGGCCAGGGACAGATATTACGGCAAAAGCTGTGGTGTGCTTTCTTAGGACGATCCGTAGGAGGAACGCATAGACGAGGTTTGAATGTCATATGATGCATTGTGCCGGGATTTTCGATTGCTTGGAAGAAATACGTGCCAATATAGTCTCCCTGGAGGATATTACAAAGAAATGATCGTAGAAAAAGGTGACTTTCACTGCTGGAATCCGATGATCGAGCTTTATTCTCATAAAAACGACAGTGTTTATAAAACATTATAAACAAAATTGTGTTTTCTTCAGGCTATACACAGCATGTGCTACAATGTGTTTATTTTATTATATTTGTAATGACAAATGTAATTTATTATTTTGTAAGGAACAAAAATTTGTAATCAACAAAGCTGCCATCCCTTAAATAATCTGATAAAAAATATTATTGGTTTTTTTGTAAATTTATTAATACATCCTGGAAATTCCAAATCCGCTCCATCTATTTGTCCGCTCAGACACCATCAAGGTAAGCGATAACACCACATTTTAATATGCGCACCCTCCTTTGCAGTAATTACTTCACCATTACCGAGACAACTTTGTGTGAAGAAACGCGTAGCTTGTGTTAATGTTTAGAAAAAGTTACATTAATAGAAACTGCATGGATTTGTTGCGAGTCTGACCTTTTCACAGAGGCGCGCAAAGGATTTCTGCCCAATTCAAGTTTAGCTGACCGCTGCGGGCGTCCATTGTCTCTGCTAAATGTCAGCCTCCCATTCTACCGCACCGGACGATTGCCACTTGCACAGTTGACTGGACAGCATCAAAAGACGCTTTCCTACTGACCTTTCCGTTTGACGTATGTAAAAATGTGTCAATACGCTCTGACTTAGCGATGTGGTGAACCGTAATGTAGAAAATCAACAGTAATGATGTACATATGGCGTTTTAATACGGTACCCTGAAATCAACGGACGACAGACTAAGTCCCACGCGTTGAGATAACATGCAAGAAAAGTGGAACAATTGACGGCCAGCAATCAAGGATGCGGCCTTACATCAGCGCCTGGGTGTTCGACGCTCGATGGGTTTAAGAAAAGTTAGCGTTTCCAACAATCCGGGTTATGTCTGTTATTGTATGCGCTGTCTCAAGCGTGAAACTCGCGTCAAAGCCGTAATTCTACCGCCGACTATTAGGAGCGGCGAAGATGTTGCTCTGGTGTTATATTAAAACAGTCAGCGTTTGCCGATTACTTGCTCATTTAATCGAAACCGCTCACGATCAATATGTTGCATTTTACATCAACCAGAAGCAGTTGTTGGCATCTTTTCTTAAAGTGTTTCTTGTTGGTTTTCATTGGTAGTACTTGAGATATTAATGTAATATTACTATTGGTTTTAATTAGGAAGCACATGTTTGAGCGTACTGGGATGCGCGCATCGTATTGTGATAATGGAGGCACATCGAGTTATCTTCCTAACCGCACTGGTTTTCACTGTTGTGCTCAGTTGTATCCAATGGCGGGCGTGTACGGAAGCCACGTTTAACTGGTCACACCCGGAGTCGCATTTTATCTTCAGCGACCAGCTCGGTCCGTGGCGGAGACTGCGGCTCTATCAGGTGAGCATGGTGAGTGAGGATAATTTTTTTACTGAACACGATAACCTCGTAAGATGCACTTGAGAAAGTGTCACGTTATAGCGTTGAAAATCTTTTATTTACTATTATTTTTGCGCTTGCATAAATGCAGTAAACAAGAGAATAAAATTTCCCACCATTTCTTAAAATTGTGGTAACACGCAGATATTGTAATGTTATAGCTTATGGAATAGTAGCGTGGAGGAAGGGTTCTGCAGTCTTTTCGGCCTTTATTTTTGATAGATTACCGATTTTTAAAAATTCCTGTCTTAGAACATTTTACTTCTAATTTCTAATTTTACTTTTCTAAATCGTTCGTGGATTTGCTGCTCTTACCGCAAATTTTGGAGATATAATTTTACCTAAGTCAGGCAATATCTGTACAATGTGGCAGTAAAACTGATAAGAATTGCACTTATAGTTTTTTTTGTTGTGCTTTAATGAAATAAATGGATATTGCAGTATAAACTTATGCGAGAAAAGCAGAACCGCACCATCCAGAGCCAATTAGCCAAGTTGCCCGAGTACAACAAGTTTCAACGACAGAGGGTGCTCTATGGATTCGGCATCGGCAAGCGCTCCAGCCTACAGTCCGCACACTTGACGCCAGCACAACGTTATCCTTTCCCAGCAAACGATCCTACGTTTTCCGCTCCAAAACGCACAGTAAATGCGAACTCTTGGATTCTTCGAATGGCGATGAACGTATAATGGAGGAGAAAAGGCGGCCAAGACGAGCTCGAATTGTTTGGTTTACGTTTACAAGCGGCAGTGTATGCGTTAAGTAATGTGGTGACCTTGTCTGCCTGAAACTGTGCGTACAGTGCTTGTTGTCAGTTTTCGCGTGGTATGGCAAATCTAATCGTTCTGTTACGTACGTACGACTGTCTATTGGCTTACGTTTTTGTAGGATCTGATCCAAACACTATGGAAATATTTTTTACAATATGTATACATGACATAACTGAGGCGTGCGTATCGAATTAATTATGTACCGCCTATCGCAGCAGTAGCAAATAATTGTTTCGTAATCATAAAGCAGTAGCGCTAAGCCGCCAATCAATGCCAAATCAATAATTTACATACTTTCGACTATCCATTTCTTTCAAATTTTTATAAGCGCTGCCCAAAAAAACCAAAGTTGTACTTGCGGAGAGGAGATCAGTGAAAGTTGATTCACGACATTTTCATTGCGCATTTCAAATCGACGTATAAACCACTTTATTCTGCGACCTTTTTGCCAAAACAGAAACTTAGAGCTCTACATAACACGAATTAAACCGATGCTCTTAAAGTATTTCAAATCGAAATTGTTATTCAGCGCTTCAGAGGAGCGGATCACTGTTCAGGTTGGAAAAGGGTGCAAGATCACGAAATCTCATATGGCTATGATCACCGGAATTTATAAACACCAGATCACTGTGCGGCCAGATAGATTGAAATCACTTCCCATTTGCTTTTAACTATACCCTTACTCAAAATTAAATCTTAAAATTAGATTTTAAGTTGTCCCCTTTTTGGTTTGTGAAGTGTGCAGTCGTCAAGCAACGACAGAGGAGCCATTTAGACGACCGAAAAAGGAATAATACGAGTACAGTACTTGATCATCATCGGATTCTAGGAATATTAGGCACTTGTACCTCGTACTGTGTGACGTCGTATTGTACATGTACTCTGTATATTAATTGTACTGAAGGAAACTTGCCACTTAATGCAACAAGACGTTGAACAGCTGCTACAAAATACGCTCACTAGAGTCAAGTTTTGACTCAAAATGTAATTAGATACTGTACTTAGTAACTTACGGTGTTAATGAAAATTAATTTATTTTGAGTTTATAAAGAAATCAGTCTGTTATTTAATCACGGCATTTTCACGCGATATGGCGCAGAAGTTAGCAGTATCAGTTGATCATTGATGATAGCGTCAAACTGCTGGGTTAAATAACTTAAATGCGATTTTTCCCGTATTTAGCAAAACACGGATTTTAAAGAAAGGGAACGAGAGAATCTGCAGGTTAATGCATAATAATCTACATGCAAATACCCGTAATATGCTGGTGAATGGAGTCCAGCAGCGTGTTCCTTTTGATTGCATGCGTTGTCGTCAACCAATATCGCGTGCAGTGCATCCAGTGCGTCGTGGGCCATCAGGAATGCGACTGTGGCTTTGATTGTGGCGCAGTAAAGACGGACAGTGATGTGGACAACTTCTACACCCTCCTGAAAGCCAAACAGTGCAAGGAAGCCAGACCGTTCGTGAACATGTTCGGGTACAAAGTGGTGCAGTGCCCGCGGGCCGACGACCTCTGCTACCATTTTTTGGATGTGATGACGACCAATTATACAGCAAATCCCATTTCCTTGATGAGCATCGGGATGTGTTTCACCCGCGGAGAAGGAGCCGAGCAGTACCTCTACCGTGCCGTCGATGTACCCAATGACCCCTCGTGGAATGCTGAACGTATCCTCGCCATCCGCCTGAACTTAAAAGGCATTGTGTTTCCCTCCAAGGGCTTCCTCTGCGGCAATATAGGCTGGGCCCAGCGTACATTTAAGGGCGTACCGATCCCCGGAGTCGGTGATTACATGGTCAACTGTCTGTGCAATAAGGATCTGTGCAATACAGGGCTGGTGGCGATGGGCGCGGCCGCCCCACCTCCACCCGACACGCCGGTCAACGAGCATAAGCAGATTGAGGAATTAGGGCGGGATCGGAATCGAACGAAAGTGGAAGTTACTGACGTGGATCCGGGTGGTGGTGGAGACGGTGGAGGGGGGATCAGTGGGGGGAACAGTACGGGAAATATCGTGAATTCCTCTTTTATAGAGGATCTTCACAGCCGATGCGGTCTTAATCCCGATGATGAGGACTGCCGGAATGTAAAGCCGGGCGGGCGTGGTGGTGCGCCTGTTGGGCTGTTGTGTGCTCCCGTCAGTCCTTTGCTCTGTCTGATGATACTTTGTTATTTCTGGTTAAAATGTTTTTATGTCTGCAGGATCTAATAAAATTAATTACATATATTACTGTTAGCGCAAGGTATGTGTTGGTAAAGCGTGCTGAAAAAAGTATCTGGTATCCGCAACAGTAATAACGGCAACAATACTAATGGCGCGTTAGTCGCGCACTATGATTATTTTGCCTTTGGAAAATGGCGCTTATTTAGCCCGCTTAGAAGTGCACTGCAATAAGACAAAAAGGACACTGATACCTGTTCGCCAAGGCAGACCGCTTGTTTGGGATGTAACAAGCTGGTGTACTGTTGCAGATTCCCACGTCGCCGCAAGCTCCAAGAAATCCGGAAGTGTGTCCCAACTGGCAGAAAATTCCAAGCGCCGGACGTATTCTTTTTTGGAATACGGTTACCTCTTTTATCCCCTGGTTATTGAGACACTGGTAGTTTTTGGCCCTGCCTTCAGTGAAATGCTGCTTTTATGGGCCGCGAGATTCGGGACATAACGGGCGAAGCGCGTTCTACTGCTTTTCTCAAGCAGCGCTTTAGTTTAGCTGTTGTTAAAGGAAATGCTACAGCTGTTTTGAGTACCTTGCCTTTTAATCCGAGAGAGGATAAGGATTTTGGTTGTTTTTTAATGTTTAATTTTTAACTGAATTATTGCTATTTGGGTGGCTATTGCCAATAAATTAAAAAGACAAAAAGGACAGACGAATACGTAAGAGATTCAAGACGAAATATAAAGCTCGTTGCTTATATTTCCCCGTAGTGGTTTGCCGAAACGGTTCTGATTAGATAACTTTCAGATCCGGTCCATCCGGGTACAGTCATCGGCTAGGTAAAGCATGACTCAGCTCGGTATATAAATTCGCTGTAGAGCGTGTCCACCAAGTACCACTCGGAAAAGTATATTGTGCAGATAACCTTTATTAGAAGCTTCCTTCGTTGTCAGTTTAATCGCTCGTACATCAGTATTCCGTTCATCGGGCTTTGGTTGATTAAACTTGCTTTTACAGTAATACTAATAATTTTATTGGTCAAATCAAAATGCAATACACAAATTATTAGAAAAGACAGTAATACTAATTGTGCAACATCCTTAACTACTGTACGCGCAGGTACGGGTCTTCTCGCTGCAGATTACAGGATAAAATGTATGTAGTTAGCAGATTCCGCGATTTTGTTTGTATTATTGAAAATGTCAGGTGTACAGTATCATCGATCTCGGTCTCTCGCGTGCGATCATTAAAAAAATCGGATTAAATGAAAGTTCATCAGTTAATCAATTTTCGTTGTTCTCTTAGATGGACCCGTCCGAATCCGATAGGAAGTCTGATTCGGCTTCCACAAATCAGACAGAACCTGACGCGGACTCGCTTGCGAACCAGGAATTCTTAAAAGAAGATGAATCTCATAACCGGTATGTGAAATAAAATGTTTGGTATTTGGACGCTAAAATTTTTGTTAGCATTGCGGTAACTTTATCGCATTGGCATTCGATTGCATCCGTTAGTCCTCCGAGATGAAAGACAAAGCCAGGCATAAGTTAATTTTGTGCTTACATTTTAGCGCTACGAGTGCGACAATTCCTGCTGACGTTAACGCAAGTGGCGATCAGCAGGCCGCTTGTGAGGAGAACGGATTGCCCATGGATGTGAGCCCGCCCACACCGATCATTCCTCGAGAGCCCTTCCAGAGTTTGGCCCGTAATATCATACGGGCCTTCAATGTAGATCTCGATTGCGAAGCAGGCGCCATGGAGGCCCTGCAAGGAGCTGCTGAAGGGTTCATAATTTCTCTTTTTGATCCCGCACGGGAATAGCCGTTGTTCTGACCACTACGAAGCTGTCTTTCGAAAATTTTCGGTTTTAACATTTGCGTGAGCACTAATATGTATCTTGAAGTTTAAGATCAACATTTTTTTTGCTGCACCACAAACTTTAAAAGGAAAAAAATTAAATTTTAAGATTATTCGTAGCGTATAAATGGGGGCACCTACATGTATACATAATTTTTGGAGATAAATGCACGCATGCGACTGTTTTTACAAAGAACCAGATTCACAGAGTGACAGAGTCTAGCATTTATTAACAAATTATGACGAGAATCATAAATTTCTAACAGTTAGCTGTGAAAGATTAGACAAAAAATACCAAATTCGGTGGAAAACACTTCGCGTTTCTATTCGCGTATTTATAACTTCATTCTAAAGTTCACGAAGGCCGGTCCAAAAAGCAGTAACCGGTACACCGGTTTATAATAAGGCTTCTGTGAAGCTCCATAACCAGATTCGTACTCACAATCCGTTTTCACAGTGCTGCAAATGTGAAAAAGGTCAAGCTACAAAACCTAAACAAATTTTGTTGGTAGGCACGTACTTCCTCGGTACGATTGATTGGGTTTGTAAATTACGAATGTGGTGCTGGAGAAATGTTTAACTATCGTTCGTTATAGATTCAGTTAAGTCATTTCGGGACTAATAAAAGTTTTTGAAAATTCTAACAAATTTGTATATTTGTGCTCCCGAAAGTCAAGGTATCTGGACCGGAGCAATGACACATCAATATTCACCGGGAAATTCATTACAAGCCTCAAAGCACATTACGTTGCTGTTTCGTATTAGTGTCAGAGTATGTTATCGCAGGGCCATACTGCACAACGTTCAAAACACCGCGCCTCGGAGTTCCAGTGAACGCCGCCGGTTAACCACACATCCTCCGTTTACCGGTAATCACATATACGAGTACTGTGTGCATTCGCTGATTTGTTCACGCATTGTTTCTGGGAAGCCAGCCCCTGTTCGCTGGCAATCTGCACGCACACTGCGGCGCACACGCTCAATGGGAGCATTAGTGCGGCTGGCCGGCTTCTTCCCCGCCGCTTATGTCACCGGCATGTCAAGATAATGTTTACACTCGGCCGTCGCCAGCGGGGCGTGCAGTATGCGCCGTATAATCCCCCTGGTGGATGGATCCGTTTAATACGGCTGATTGGATTAACTTTTTCTTGCCGAGCCTTAATTGACGCCAGTTACCGGCATTGTATACTGCTAACCCGGCGTCGCCTCCGCGATAGCCTTGCAAGTCTTCCATAAAAAGTATTAAATGCCCACCGTCGTCTCCGTTCTGCCAAAATCACTTAACATCGTTAACTACCAATTGCTCATCCACACTATTTAACTGCCAGATTTGGTCATCTCTCGTGAAAGTCGTCTGTGAAAGATTATGCAACAGTCATAATTTTGTAACCGTTTTTTACCTTTGTTTGACTGGAAAATTCCCCGAGCAAAAATGGTGCTGAATTTCAGCGAAGTGGTCAATGCGACCTTTACCACTGCGACCAACGCAACTGTGTTAAGGAAATCCTTATTCGCTGCCTTTCGTTTGGAATATTACGCTTTCCTCGCTGTAACACTAATTATTTGCACAATTGGATTTTTCCTCTTCCTGATATTTCTCCTTATTCTTCTCCGGCAACCTAACCTTTTTCACGGCTCTCGCTACCTTATTATCAACCAGACCTTGACCGAGATGCAGCTGATCGGCTTCCATCTGCCAGCTGCCACAATTGGTGCTTACGTTGCCGAGACCAACGGCTACTCGGTGTTTTTCACCGAAGCGTTCTGTCTGCACCAGACTTTCGTCTATCTCGTCACCGTGGTCGTCTCCATGTGGGGACTATTCGGACTGGCGCTGAACCGGTTCCTTGCCGTCAACAGCACCGTTCCCCAGCAGTACGAGCGGTGGACATCCAAACAGTTCCAGCTCATCCAAATCGCTGCAATCTGGTTAATCGCATTTTTATGCCATATTTACGTATACACCCAACCTAATTCGGTAACCGCCACAGTCTTCCCATTGCGACAATGCCGTTCGCTGCCGAGTGTACAGTTTACGTTCAAGCAGATCTTTGGAACATACCTCCCGCTGGCTCTTACCGGAGCACTGTACTTGTCCATTTCCTTTAAACTGTTGAAAGACCGCTTACGAAAGCATCGACAGCGGGTGGCGGATGCCGGTCCGGCGCATGAGGGGAACGTCGGACGCCAGCGTATCCTGTTGGCCAAGATACTCTTCATTAACGCCACGGTGCATACGGCTGCCTTCGTCCTGTATCCGGCTATCCAGGCCATCGTTGGAGTAAACCGGGCCAGTGCGGATCCCCTGCTGCCCCTGTGGTTCCGTACGGTCTTTCATGCCGGTCAGCTGGCGACGCCGGTAGGTGGTATTTGTGTATTGCTGAAAATAGCATCGATAGCGTAAAATTCTACGGATAGCGTAAAATTAGAGGCCAATTATTTACTCTCTTTATAAGGCGTATGTGGTTCTTTTTTAGCGTGCACATTCACACATAGAATGTGTACTCGTTGTCATTCATTGTTAGCCGCTAAACTACCGGGTAAAACTTGTAAAGGGCGAAAAAGGTTCTTGTCTGCCGAGCTTTTCTAAAACAGACACCTCCGAATTTGGAGTACATACAATACTGAGGATTAGTGTTCTGGCAGACAGGTAAATATACTGACGATTAGTGTTTTGGTGCAGTAGTAAAATTGCCACAGAATGTCCGGCAAAAAAGCAGTTCATAGATTACTTCGTTCGATTGTAAAGTTCTTTCTTTTCTTTTGTGGTAATCTCCAAATCTGGAATGTTTTTCTTCGCTCTTATGGATCAGAAGAAAGAGAAAGCTAATTTGTTGTTACTTGATTCGACCGACGTTCTTTTGTGTAGGTGACCTTCTTCATTCTCAGCCGAGACTGTCGCAAAGAAGTCATGCGTCTCTTTAAAAACCAACCCGTCGACCACAGTGGAGCATACGTGTCCGGTCACTCCAATTCGCATCAGACCTCCAAACGGACAGCGACAACGTCGGTTGCACGCAGCTATGTGGTGAATCATGCTCACGATCCGGTGGCATAATCTGGATTAGGATAGCCTCCCCGCCCCGCCTTGCTCCGCAAAAGATTATCCGACATTTGTCTCTTTTATGCATTGTTTGTCAATAAATTCGGCCTTTTTGCAGTGGATTATCTCGGTAAATCTGCAAGCTTGGATATTCTGCGTACTCCATATGTACTATGTTTAAGCAGTTCGAAGAACCACTTCATTCTTGCACAATTTCTCTAAATGGCTCATTATATATGGAAATAATCCTAAACCCAGAATTTTTATTGTATAAAAGGAAGAAAATTCTCGTTGCCGCGTAAATATGGGATAGGCTAACGGACGATAGCCGACAGCAGAACTGTGAGTCTCCAGGAACTGATCATCGCCATCACGTTTCGCATGCAGTTATCGACCGTCACTACGTACCGAAAAAGTCGCCATATTCTGTGCTTTCACGCAATACAACGTCAATGTCGAACATACGTGTTTTATTCGCAGTTGACCTTTATCTTTTGATCGGAAGCATGACGCGTGGCTTACAGCAAATTTTAACAGAAACGTTTTCAGTAACTTAATGCGTCATGCGGGGATGCTTCTCACAAAACGCCTGCAGAACACACGAGGCAGCAGGCAGTGCAGTGCGCAACAACTAACGCATTAGTTAAAGAATATGTAAACGGAAAATCTATGTTCACGTGCCTCTGTAGTTTGCGTATAGCGTCGGCCACAAAAGTTCCAATAAAAATAGCGTAAAATGCATTAAGAATCAGGCGTGCTGAGTTGCGCAGCGGCCTCCTACGAGGCACTACGACTGACAGGAAACAAAGTACAAAATACGGTACCTAAATAACGAGAGTGCAGTGCGTGTGCCTCAAGCGAGTAACGTCGACCCTTTTGTATGAGCCTGGTTACAATTGTTAGCAGTGCGTGATTTTGTTCTTATGCAGTACCGTATATGAAAAATGGTGCCTAGATAAGGCACGCATTAGCTAAAGATGGGTTTTACACAATTCAGAGTAGGAACAGGATAACACTCCCTTCTCGCTGTATCGGTACTCGTACTGCATTATCGCTTAAAGCGTAACTAAGGAATTCTATGCTCGGACATAGCGTACACATGTTTCATAAAATTAAGCAGTTTTCTGGATTAGGAATGAAAAAAGCGATTTTATCGCGCGATTAAAACGAGTGTCGTTTTTACCACTAAAATCTTGGTAAACTATTTTACTCATCTGGCTGTTCGATGGTCGATGGAAACAAAATTATGTTTCGTACATTATATTAGAAATTAAATACTGCAGTAAAAAATGATAGAATCAATAGAATGGATAAATATCCCTGTAAATGCAGAAAGTAGTGGTTCTGTGTCATACAAAATGTAACTGGACAAACTAGGGGCGCATAACCTCCAGAGAAAGCGACGATGTACATAACTAGAATATGTATACATTGTGGTGAAACATTTTTAGATAAAGGTGCTGTGCTGTACCGGCGCATACTTATATTTATAATCCGGAATTCCCCAAAATCCAAAATTCTAAGCGGACGTTCCGGGTACGGTAGTATTCACTGCCAGTGATTAAATCTTTAACTCTGTTCAAGGTTTAGGCGCAGCCAACCTTTGCTACCACAGATTGCATGCTAGATAGAAACCACAAAATGTGTGAATCACTCGTACCAGAAATGGCCACGGCGTTGGAGTCTGGGTTTTATATGCTCGATGTAGTGTTTACAAATGCCAATTTAATACAACCCTAGACACCGTTATAACTTGTAACCGAATAAAACACAATATCCTCTTTAATATTTGTAGAACCTTTTTATTGAGGGATCAGTGGTCCTAACCTTTCGTGTAACATAACATGCATATTTTTGGATACATTGTCCTTTGTTACTCTCTTTCTATCGGCATTCTGCAGGCGAATGGAGCAACATTGCCAGAAGGTATGTTAATCTACTTGGTAGTACCGGAGCCGGGAGCGAATCTAGAACATCACCACACGCGGAAAACTGGTTACAGCAGCGTCACGCCACAGTAACGGTTTCTGCACAAAAAATATATATATGCCTCGATTCATAAACGGAAGGCAGAGCAATTCAATGCTTCGATATGTAAAAAAATATATATGCTTCGATCAGTTTGATGTATATTTTCAAAGCTTAGGCAGCCCTTAATGATAATTCACTATCCAACGTCACTATCCGATACTACTTTGCTGTCTGATTGTTTGGTGGTAGGACGAGAAACAGAGTAAGTAATTAATTTTCAGCCGGTGGCAAAGCTGAGATGCGTTTGAGATAGCTTTTTGTATTTTCCATGAAATGTATATATATATTCGGCAGATATATTAAGTACAGAGCAATATTTGCCCATATGCAAGCAGTGGACACTGTCAGCAAAATTTTCAGACGCACACGAGCGAATTGATGCCAGCGTCCTGGAAGCTAGAGAATCGGAAATCGGGCAGTGCAACCTGGAGGAGCAACTGACGGCACCCAGTGGAGACGGGTTTTCCGCTGCCGCTGAACCATCCGGGCAGTTGATGCCGGAGAATTACTGGCCCAATAATGGGAAGAACATTCCGTATCAAATCAGCCATGAATTCGGTAAGAAAAAATGTTGATAAACGTTACAATATCTACTCGTTTAATTTCTCAATATGTACAAGGCGAGCTTCGCACAACAAACATGATCAAACGAAGAATTTGCCCCAATTAACATGGGAAGGGACCGTGCACAATACACTCATTGCATTACCACGCATAATCTCCAAACTTAAACGTTGAAACAGAAAACAAGTAGAGCGACTCTCACCCGTCCTTAAAAACAACTTCTTACCGATCTCCTTTAACGTTACAATGCCGGTCTCACACCAAGTGCCAAAAGTCTCGCATGCAAAAGCGACAAAATTACAGCGATCAGCGATTACAATATCTTATGTCTGTACTTTACATCCAACGCGGTTCTATAGGGGCTGTATTGTGTTTCATGCAATGTATTTCATCTGTCTTGAATATCACTGAAGTACTGTAATTTCATAGCCAGTAGAAAATTATTTATTACAGATACCGAACAAAGCAGTAGAATACGACAAGGTCTACAAAAGATTCAAGCCAGAACGTTTGCCTGTATTACGTTTATAAACAAGACAACGGAGACGGACTTCATCTTCTTTAAGCCGAGCAGATTGTAAGTACATACATAATTATTATCAAAGGGAAATTTGAACGACGTAGAGAATTTGAACGCATAGAAAAAAGGATTCAAATGGAATAGCTTTCTCTGTTATTTTTTTAGGTGCCAAAGTCGAGTCGGAAAGCATGTTAACGGCGGACGACACGATATCGAGCTCTCAAACGCCTGTGTCAACCACATCGGGATCATTCAGCACGAAGTCCTGCACGCACTGGGTCTCTTCCACGAACAGAACCGACCGGATCGGGATGCGTACGTGGAGATCTTCTATGACAACATTCAGCCGGATTTCGTCTTCAACTTCCGCTTACTGTCGGCGATGGAAGTCTACGGGACCATGTACGATCTGGATTCCATTATGCACTACGGTGGTTTCGACTTCGCCAAGGTCCGCAGTCGGTATACAATTCGTCCGAAGAATAAGAAGCGAGTAAGGATGGGACAGCGGAAGGGTTTGAGTACCCTGGATGTGACGAAACTGCACAACGCGTACCAATGTACTTTCGACAGCGACAACGAGGTACCCGATGACGGAGATTTGGTGACAACATCCAAAAGTGTCAGGACAAGTCCTCCAGGAAGTGCCAAGAGTATGACCACTGCTGTAACCGATAGCAGTGCTAGTGAACAGTTCCCGGAGTTTTCCATGGAACCCATGACGCGCGAACAGTGTGCTTTTCAGTTCCGATCTAAATGCGGACGCCAATTCTACACGCAGTCGACATGCAAGGAAACCAAAGGTCTGGAAATTGACTGCAAAGGTTTGACCACAGACGAACTACGCGATATGGTAGAGCGTGCCGCCCGCCCACCGGTGCGGGCTATCCGTCTGGACCTGGATGATGGGCGGCATCTCCAGTCTGAAATATTTCGTCCCATTCGGTTGCAGATTATTGGGTTCGAGTTGTGGAACTGCAAAACAAACCGAACAACGGAAAAATTGTGGCACTTGCGTTTCTCGCGAATGTATCACTTTGAATTAGTAAAATGCCAAGACTTGGTTGTGCGGAAAAGTGATTTTGACAACTCGAAAAACTTACGGATGATTCTGTTCCGCGATTCCACGATTGCGGAGTTGGAAGATAAAACTTTTATGAACCTGCCGGAACTGCTGGTCTTGAGTTTGGAGTACGAGCGTATCCGTAGTAAATCCATTCCGAGTTATCAGCAAGATTTTATTGGAGAATTACACTGCTCCTGTCAATTCGCATGGCTGCGTACATGGTATAGCAGTCGTCCGTCACTTCTGCATGGACGCGAAAAGGGGGCCGTGTACTCAGTGGTTGACGCTTTTCAAAGTCCGGAAGTCAACGCCGACGGAATGTACCGACCATACAACTGTCAGACTAAATCTTATCATACGCATGTCTCGAATTTGCCCTTCTCAACCCACGCTTGTTAAAAAATGCTGACCTGTAACTCAGGAACTGGTACTATGATATCTTTATGATAACAAAGTTATAGTTATAGTGGTTACTGTGCTGCATGTGACGGAGAGATCAGTACGATAGGAATAATTACCGTAAATAATCTATCCTACCGACCTACTCAACGACAGAGTATGAGCTGGTATCTCAATGTGGCATAGCTAAGTCTACGAATCTATGCGAAGCGAGAACTGCATCTCCGACGATAATTTAATAATAACTCCGACACTGCCAAAACTCGTAATGAGAGAACTCATGATGTAAAATACTGCCACTCGCGGACTTATATAGACACGGCGCATCCGTGTAGAAACAACCAAAAGTAAATCCGAACACAAAAGAGAAACGTCGAAGAAGTACAGCGAATAATAGAAAGTACGAGTAAAGCCGTCACATTACGTACTGTACTGCTATATTCCGTCACATGTAATGTACAGCAATTTTTATGATCAATTTCGTGTTCATTTTCCGTTTCAATGGTCCAGACTCAGATTATAGCAGTAAATACAACAACAGTTACGCAGCACACTGTCGCGCATTGGTGTTAAAAAAACTGCTGGCGGTCAACTTTGTTCCCTAGTACAGACAAAAATAAGTCGCCATCGGAACGGCCTTCAAATGGGTGAATTTTTATTGATTTCACAAGAAGCGGTAACATCACTGTTTCAAAACAATAAATCAAATAAAAAATAACTCATTTAATGCTGCCGATCCCTCCATTGTCCCGAGTACGGAAGCAGCGTTGAAGCAGCCTTCAAATTGTATTTAAACTAATCGCTGTTACAAAATGTTCTGCTACAAATCTGCATTCAACACAGATAAACAGCGCCTTAGACGCTGCGTGCCACATCAGGGGGAATTCGCGCCTGTAGCCGGCAGAAAGGTGGACGGGTGGATGGTGGATGTTCATTGAAATCGCATCCACCAATCTGCCGACCTTTGGCAGATTGGTGGATGAGTCGTCCACCTTTCTGCCCGATCACATCCACCTTTCTGCCGAAGGTCGGCAGATTGGTGGATGAGCCATCCACCTTTTTGCCGAAGCACATCCACCTTTTTCTAAAGGTCGTCCACCTTTCTGCCGAACCAAACCGTCGGCGTCGATTGATCTGACAATGAAACCATTGAATGCATTCAGGCCCATTGTAAGATCAATGCATGCTTACGCAGACAGACTGAGTTACGCTGCTCCGGCAGAAAGGTGGATGCAGTCATCAGACATTTCCATCACTCTGTCTGAACATGTCATTCTACACGCTTTTCTACTCCGAAGTAATTTTGTTTTATTTCTCCGAAGTTTAAATAAAATACTAGAGGTAGACGAGGAGAAGGTTATTGCGTTGTCCATCAGATAGTCAACTGGCTGTCTCCGGAGACGGAAAAGTGAAGACCAAATGCTTTCGTCCATCTCCCGTTCAGTTTTTAGTAGACCTACCCAGTCAACATTCCAAAAGGGAAGAAAACTTCTAGAAGTTATTTGGTATGCTGCCTGTGGCGAATAACGGAAATTAGAACTGCTTCTCTGCGAGGACCCCAATTGTTCTGGATGTCGCAAGTTTATGGCAAACTTATAATCCTCTCTAATTTACATTTTCACAACAAACAGCAACATACTCGGTGCGAACAACTTTTGAATGTTATCTTATTTTCTTACGAACCTTGAAAAGTTGATTGTGTGGATTTACCCAGAACCAAACGTGAGGAAAGGTTTTGTTTCTGGTCTTCTTTTTCGTCTACGACTGGCTGATTGATGAGCAGCACGGAGCTCGGCTAGCTGAAGTTTTTTTTAAATTAAATTTAGAAAACAAAAGCAGATCTCTCCGGAGAACTCAAACGAGTAGGATAACATGTTCAGACAGAGTGACGGAAATGTCTGATGACTGCATCCACCTTTCTGCCGGAGCCGCGTCATGCATTGATCTTACAATGGGCCTGAATGCATTCAATGGCTTCATTGTCAGATCAATCGACGCCGACGGGTTGGTTCGCCAGAAAGGTGGACGACCTTGGGCTTGGACCTTTAAAAACGGTGGATGTGCTTCGGCAAAAGGTGGATGGCTCATCCATCAATCTGCCGACCTTCGGCAGAAAGGTGGATGTGATCGGGCAGAAAGGTGGACGACTCATCCACCAATCTGCCAAAGGTCGGCAGATTGGTGGATGCGATTTCATTGAACATCCACCATCCACCCGTCCACCTTTCTGCCGGCTACACGCGCCTGCTCGGTTAATCAAATAATTCGCCCACAGGCGGGGTGATAAGAATTAATCTCATTTTGCTTCACGGCTCCGTTGGATACGGCTGGCTGAATTCGATAAGGGGAAGATTTCACTGATGGGAGAAATCTGTTGATAAGCGCCCACCTGAACTTGCAACCTCTCTCTGCCCTTCAACCGCTCGCCTATCTCCTACTACGCCGGATCCGGGTTACTTCCGCCGCTAAGCCTATAAAAGCCTCTGCATACCGGCTGCCGGCTTCATTATTGCAGCTAGTCGACCGAAGCGTAGCGAAGGTCTTCTATGTTCAGCGTTTATGAAAAAAGTGGTGTCCGTCGGTCACCGCCACCTAATGCACGCATGCGCGAGTATACTATCAAATGCACATATGCGCACTGGCCGTATATACTCAAGCCGCAAGCAAACTATGGAGGAGTCCGTCGGTCACCGCCAACTAATGAGCATATGCGCGGGCTTACTATCAAACGCATATACGAAATGCACATACGCGCACTGGCCGTATATACTCAAGCCGTAAGCAAACTATGGAGTCCGTCGGTCACCGCCACCTAATGCAGATAAGTGCGGGCTTACTATCAAAACGCACATATGGAATGCACATATACGCACTGGCCGTATTTACTCCGGAAGCCGCAAGCAAACTATGGTGTCCGTGTGTCGGTGGTGACTCACTGCCACCTTATGGACACGCACATGGTCACCTATTATAAAATACAGAGATGCGCGCTGGCCGAACATGTCCAGGGCGCATTTAAAGAGTGTGTCTATTGGCCACCATCTCTCTTGATAAAGTGTCCAGGAGTATGGTACCCACTAGCCATATACAAGTGCTGCGCTATTTATTGAATTTTCAGGGTTATAATTATTTCTTTGTTAGCTCAACTTTGGCATTTTGCATCACACTCTTTACATCATACACAAACGAAAAATCTAGAAAAGAAGATTATAATGCAGCGCAACAGGAGATTATAATGCAATGCCTGAAAGTACAGAAGAAGTCCCAGCTGCTCGTTGTGATAAGCGCAATACCGGCATGGGCAATCGGCGTCTTTATTTGACAGCAATTTCAGATCAAACTGAAGCAAATATTACCCAGCACCACGTCTATATAACTGGCAAAACCATGGCTACACCGGCTCAGATGTATCTTCACCGTTATTTAAACCGTAGGTATTTCCCTCCCTTCAGGTTTTTAAAAAAATATTAAATTTTTCAGTACGGTCGGCAAACAAATCCCATCCATAACTTTTATTACGTTCTGAGAACAGTGGAATGTTCGTCGTGCATTGGGCTTCCACTGGTTACATAATTTTACTCTAAATATCTCATACTCGTAACAAGAATTCTACAATGTTTGCTACCAAGTAGATAAAAATCGGTTATAAAATTACTGCTTCGCTTCGGTCATACAGTGCCCGCCAGAAGCGAGTGCACTTTCCTAGTTACAGTACTTGCAAATTTTTTTTTCGCTCTCGGGCGTCCTTAGGGCGCTTCGCACCGTGTTGTTGTTGGCACTTCGGTGCCCTTTCGTCCCCCCCTTGTCTGTAGCGATTCTGTCATGTATTTGTGTTAACGAAACTAAAGTGAGGCACCGGCGTTTATTAAAGGGTTTAATGTGTGCGTATGGCTTTCATGGGCACAGTATTACCCCTGTTGAACTGTGCCCATGAAAGGAATGAAACTGACTACGGTGACATTTGAACCGTCGCCTCTGGAGTCTGCACAATTTTTGTGACGTCTTTAATTAAATAAATGCGTTCTCAGAGCCGCTGCATCGCAGTGCACCCTAATATGGCCGTCTTTGTTTTTGCTCATATCAAATAACCTTACTAAGCAAAAAATATTGCCGCTGGTCAAAAATTACGTGCACAAGCCGCTTACTCTGATATCTGTACCGTACCGTAATGTTACACAATTTTCTTAGCGTGGATTTAACTTACTTCGGTCGAGATTTTGTCCAGTACGATGTCTAACGCCAGCTACATTTTTGACGTAACCTTCTTGAATTCGCCCAACTCTACTGAGCAAAGAGAATCCCTGTTCGTCGTTTACCATTCGGAATTCATTGCGTTTCTTGCAGTGAGTTTATTGGTTTGTATCGTTGGCGTTGTCCTTTTTTGCATTCTTCTTCTGATCCTCATCCGTCAACCATCCCTCTTTCATGGCTCACGCTACCTCATCGTTAATCAGGCATTTGCGGAAATACAACTGATCGGGTTCTACCTGCCCGCCGCCTCTATCGGCGCCTATATGGACGAGTCCAGAGGTTATTCTGCATTCTCCAACAAAGCATTCTGTCTGCACCAGACATTTTTTTATCTGGTGACGGTGGTTGCGTCCATGTGGGGACTCTTTGGATTCGCGTTGAACCGATTTTTGGCCGTTAGCAGCACCCTTCCACAGCAGTACGAGCGCTGGACATCCAGACGGTTTCAGTTACTACAGATCGGGTTAATTTGGTTCATCGCGGTTTTATGCCATATCTACATGTACATTCAACCGGATCTCGTTATCCCACTCGAGTTTCCGCTGCGGCAGTGCCGTGCGCTGCCTAGCCTACAGTTCACATTGAAACAAATCTTTGGGACGTACGTCCCGCTTGCTCTTACAGGAGTACTGTATTTGACGATCGCCGTTATGCTGCTGCGAAATCGGCTGAGGAAACATCGGGTGGCGGATGTCACAGTTAGACTGGAGGGAAATTTCGGCAAACGACGAATCCTTTTGGCCAAGATTCTTTTTATTAACGCCACGGTGCACACCGCGGCGTTCCTCATGTATCCGGCACTGCAGACCATACAAGGTGTCAGTGCCAGTGCGGACCCTCTTCTGCCGTTGTGGTTCCGCACAGTGTTTCATGCCGGTCAGCTCGCGACACCGGTGGGTAGTTTAGGAGTGTCGTTGCAGTAAACAACGGCGTGTTCGTTATCGATACGCAACCGAAATGTGCACACGCGCCAGAAGGAGTAACTTGAGATGGTCGAGACACAACGTAGTGATGACGCTCACTGTTCTCTAACTGGCTTTCATGATAAAACAAACACATTCATCAAAAAAGTTAATTTTTCTATAAGCACTTATTTTCTTGATCCTAGGTAGTTACGTTTGTTCTTAAGGAACTCGTCTGCGTAACTGCATATATACAACTTTTTCTATAAGGATTGTTATATTTACTACAAAGTGCTAACAGTAAATTTCTCATGTTTAGAGACTGTACTGATGGTTAACTACAGAGTATTTTATTTTTTGCGTAGGTAACGTTCTTCTTTCTAAGCCGGGACTGCCGTAAGGAGATGGTTTTTCTTTTCAAAATGCAGCCGCCCCATCGTGGTCGGGCATATGTTTCTGGGCAGTCGTTTTCGCAGCAGTCGTTGAAACGCACTGCCACGGCGACCAGTGTGCGCAATCCCGCTGCAGTTCAATCTATTGCCAAAGTGGCATAATCGGCATTTTCATCCACAGCCGATCTTTGCAATAAAGATTTAATGGTGCACGTTTTGCTGTTTGCTTTTTCCATAAATTCTGCCGTTTTTGGGCGCATGGTTTTTTAGCGGACTTCACGGGTACATCTTTATGATACTGTAAGAGGGCCAGCCACTGCGCTGGTGTCAGAATTACTGGATAACAGGACTCGTCATACACACGGAAAAACGCCGTGTTTGGCATCACTTGACCATATTACATTATACAGACACAATATACGAGTACATTAGTAGGAGCCATTTTAAACAATTGTGGGATATCTCCCACATACAGGCTGTATGCATGTGCACGCGCTGTACGCATGAATCTCAGTGTATGACTGACGTGCGTTCTGGAAGTATCCAGAACGATCTGGATGTGTGATGTCAGAGCATTGATTTTTGCGCAGCTGCGCTGCGCTGTGGCAGTATATATGGTGTCGGTTGTGCTAGCGCAGAGGGAGCTCCTCTGATCAGTGGAATAAAGTGCCGGCGCCGAGTCCCGTTGTGTAGAGCGTATATACATACGTAGATTTATATGGGGCGAGCCGCCCGCACAATGGTGACACATAATTCAAACGTACATTTTAAACAATGGTGACACATAATTCAAACGTACATTCTGGTGACACATAATTCAGAGGTACATTCGTTTGTGCACCTGTATTGTACAAGCCTTATGCATGCAGTTTAATAACATCCAAGAGGTAAAGCTCATGCTAATGACGTAAAAATGGAAATTTTATCAGGAAGTACAAGAACAATTTTACTGGATCACGATCGCCGTTTTAACTGTAAGCGCGGCGTATTATGATGCAATTTCCCCAGTGCCAGACTTGTTTAGGTTGTGCTCAGCAAGATGCAGAGATAGCAAAGCGGAACTGTCAGTAGTGTTTTTAGGAAGATATGGGCCGACGATAAGCAGCATATACCACATGCTCGCACTCCTGTGTTTTTATTTTCTTCATATTGCAATGTTTTTATTGGATGGTATCATGGTGGCGGTTACAGTAGCACTCGAACACTATCGCCTGATTATTTCCTGGGTATTCTAAGACATCCATCAAAACTTACTCGTACAATGGCGAAGTTTATTTCCCCGTTTGTCTGTTTTTGCTACTGCTTCGTGGCCATATGCTTGCAACAAGCGCACGCAGCAACATTGCCACAAGGTACGTGTGCTACGTCAGTACCTGCACAATAATTTTCGGGGATATAACTGGACATGAAATGCAGCGTTTGCAGAGGTTGTGCATAAAGGTTTGCTACACAGTAATTGGCTGTAATACTTCCATAGATTGGCGGAATCGCATCGACCCCAGTGTGCTGGAGTCACGGGAATCAGAGTCTGGAATATGCAACCTAGACGAAGAAATAGAACTACCCGAAGGAAATGTGTTCGCTTTAAGCATTAGCACAGGCAAACTCCTCCCACAAAACTACTGGCCTAACGGCGGCAAAAATATTCCTTACAAGATCGCCCATGGTTTTGGTACGTTGGCTTTAATTCTGATTATACTCATACAAAGCGATAAATTGTGTTGATTTAAACTGCAACAAGAACAATCGCAGAACTTTCTACCGCTTTCACTTATTTTATTGCTTAATTGCGCCAAAACCCGAGTTTAAAATGGCACAATTTCTTTAGAAGAATCTGCGCGACGGAAAATAAAACGAGGAATGGCCGACATCAAGCGGGTTACGGTTGGCTGCATAACCTTCACTCCACGGACAAACCAAACGGATTACTTATTTTTCCGACCCCATGATAAGTAAGTACATACTGCAGACTTGACCCTTGAATACCATGTACTGCTAAGGACGTATTTTAAAGGTCAAGCTTCCATTAACAGTGCTGTTTACACAAACATATACTCCAGGGAAATGCTGTTGTGTTTTAGGTGGTGTCAGTCAAGAGTTGGCCGGCGGTTTAACGGCGGTCGGCAGGATATCAGACTGACCAAAGCCTGCGCTAATTATACCGGCACAATCCAGCACGAGATCCTCCACGCGCTGGGTCTGTATCACGAGCAGAATCGACCCGATCGCGATCAGTATGTCGACATCTTTCAGGACAATATCCGGCCGGATGTCATGCAAAACTTTCACGTCTTACCGCACATGGAAGTGTACGACACACATTATGACTTCGACTCCGTTATGCATTACGGCGCCATGGATTTCGCCAAAGACCCTAATCAACCGACTATCATTCCAAAAGTCACGAAACGGACGCATATGGGGCAGAGGCGGAGCTTGAGTATACTGGATGTGGCCAAACTGCAGAAAGCATACGGATGCCAATTCGATCCGGATAACGAAGAAGCAAACGATCCGGTTGCATCGATGCCACCCACACAAATGACGACAACAGTTCCAGAAACGACCGAGGCCACGGAAAAGCCACCTGATAGACAACAACAACAACGAATGACGCCAAAAGCACCAATCTTGCCTGTAACTCCTGAATTACCAGCGTTCACGCCAATCAGTACAGAATTTCAGGATGAAGAGTTTCCGGAGTTCTCCGACGAGCCAATGACGGAATCGCAGTGCTCGTTCCAGTTTCGTCCCGGGTGTGGGCGGGAACATTACACCCGTGCAACGTGCACCCATACTAAAGGTTTGGAAATCGATTGCAAAGGTATAATACCGGCTGTGCTTAGCGATATGGTGCGGAAAAGCGCCCGAAGGCCTATGCGCGCAGTCCGAGTCGATATTGATGACGGACATGATACACTGACCCCGGCAATATTCGCTCCCATCCGCTTACAGATTATCGGTCTGGAGTTATGGAACTGCCGCACAAGGCGCACGACGGAGAAGTTGCGTTTATTAAAGTTCTCCCGAATGTATCATTTTGAAGCGGTACAGTGCCGGAATTTGGATATTCGTCGAAGTGACTTTGATACGTCGAGGAATTTGCGAATGATTCTGTTCCGTTCGTCGACCTTTGCGCGGATGGAAGAAGATACCTTTGGGAATCTACCTGATTTGCAGTTGTTAAGTCTGGAGTACGAGCGAACCAGAAGGCCCACTATTCCATTGATTCCACGAGATCAGCTGGATAATGTTAAGAGGGTGCACTGCAGCTGCCAGTTTGAGTGGCTCAGACAACTGTTCGACCGCAAACCGGAGCTGCTGGATGGGAGACAACAGGGGGAAGTTTATCTAATTGACGATGCGTTTGAAAGCCCAAAAATCGAGGTCGAGCAGATTTACTACCCATTCCACTGCCGGCTGAATGGGTATTCGTCGTTCACGCGCTTTCGTGAAAACCCTTTTTCTCGGTACGCAGACGAGTGTTAGCGCTAACACTCAGCGCTGAGATGCCAGCATCTCAGAGTGTTTATTTATTCGAGAATGCTGATATTTTATCTAACAGTTACCTTGCATCCAGTGTCAAGCTTTTAAGGGTTTGCGTTTAATTACGCTCAGAAATAAAATTAACAATGGAAGCAAAAATACTAGTACCTACATGTTTACGCTAAAACAAGTAGGTACAAAATTGTTCACGCTTAAAAGATACTTCCGAAAAATCATCCAAATGTTACTCTACGTACAACGCACCATAAAAAATAATAGATGGCAGGTTACGTCGCATTAGCTGAGCGCAGATAGAACATCACTTCTCGATGCGAGAGTTGTTGCGTTCCTCTTTGAGTGTGTTGTGAGAAGAAGGAAACTCTGGAATTTAAAATGTTTCGATGGTCTTTCAGCAGAAGAATGGCTCCGTTACGGCAACCGCGGCACAGAACGAAAAATTGATAGATACGGAAACCACCAAAATCACGATGCCGCGAAACGCAGAAACAGCTAAAAAAAGTTGAAACAGACAACGCAAAAGTGATTGTTGAGCAGAATCTACGGTGGCCTTTTTCAATCTTGGCCTTATTGGAGAAAAAGCCATTACCATTCAACTGCCTAACGGATTATTTCGTTTTTGGTTCCCGTTTCGTGAGAGCCATCATTCATTGTTTGGGGATGAGGGCTAAGCCACCACTAGTAATAGTGCCAGTAACGATTTTTAAGTAAGTACTTGAAAAATTGATTAGAAATCAGTACACAAATCCATGGTTTGTGTGAGGTAACAAATTACAATATTCGCGGCTGTATAAGCCTATACATCGTTATTTGTTAAATCTATAAGTACCGTTGTTTCTAGGTTACACGCTATTTTTTCAGCTGCAGGACAATAAAAAAAATGGTAGAATGTTGTTATATTATTATGTAGTAGTAATTTATGGCAATATTTATTACGCTCCTTCACGCAAGGTTCTGTTAGTCATATTAATAAACAATTATATTCATTATTACCAAAATAATGTTACTGATTATTATTGCCTGTTGTATTTTGTAGTATTTATTCGACAAATTTTTTCCTGAGTTTAATGAAACCAAATGTGGTATTACAAAAATATTTAAGTTATTTAAGTCACAGATCGCTCTTATGAGAAAGAGAAAGTATAGGTATGGCTATCGCCATATAATCGTGTTATTAGGATTCCTGGGCAATTTTGTCTTGTACATTACACGGCTGACGTTCAACGCAATGGTTTTCCGCATGACACCCAAGACCTTATTTTTCCCTAACATATCTGACCCCGGAGAATGTCCTCTCAAAAAAGGCGCCACGTGGATCGATGGGGGTCCGAACGTATGTAGGTAAAGGTCACGCAAAAGCAATGCAATCTCGGATTATTAAATGGATTTTAATGACTTCTTGCTAAATTTCGATTATCATGTGTTTGCCAACAGATGGAAACTTACACCTGGACGGGTGTCGAGAGAACCCACCTTATGGTATCGTTTTACTACGGGTACCTTCTAAGCCAAATACCGTCGGGCTATCTCGCCGAGCAGTATGGAGCGAAACGGCTGTTCGCCCTGGGCGTCGGTGTGTGTGGTTTCCTGGCGTTTCTGATGCCACTGGCTGCGCGATATGGATATACGGCGTTGTTATGTACCCGTTTGTCGATGGGAATTTGTCAGGTGACTTGTGAAGGGGTCTCTCTGAATCTGTTTAAATAAAAAAGATTGCACGAGTACTAGATTTTGCATAAAATAACCCTAACGTATTTTTTCACTAAATAATATACTTTTATTTGCCTACGGTGCAACCAGTGCAACCACATGTTTTTTTGGTAATATTTAAGTGATCTTTCATTTTGGTCCTTTGACAGTTGACATTATTATAATTAAACTAACTTTAAGCCTAATATTTTATTGTTTGTGGCCTTGTTTAATTTTTATTGTATTTTTGTGGCAGTTTTTAAGGGATTTGGCCCGGTACATAGCACAAGTTCGTGAACATCCCGGGGAAGTTTCGCTGGTGCGCGCTCCCAAACACTTTTTTGCATCGCTTTATGGTATTTTGTAGCCAGAAGAATTGTTTACCTAGGTGAGAAAACCGTTTGCGCGCGCAACATCCGGTTCCGAAGTTATGAGGGTATCAAAATTCCAAAAAGTTTAAATGCATTCAGGTGTACCAAAAGTCTCATTATAAACCGATTCCTTTCAAATTTTGCGCGTAAATGCACATAACCATCAAGATCGTTTTGACACGGATCCAAACTTCTACGATTTTTTCAAATTTTAAAATGAATTTTAAAATTTTTGAAATTCATTTTAAAATTTGAAAAACATGTTAGAACAGTGGATCCGTGTCAAAACGATCTTCATGATTGTGTGCATTTACGTGCAAAGTTCGAAAGGGATCGGTCCATAATGAGACTTTTGGTACACCTGAATGCATTTAAACTTTTTGGAATTTTGTTACCCTCATAACTCCGCAACCGGATGTTGCGCGCGAAAACGGATTTCACGCCTATGTACACCAATCATTTGGCTACACAATGTCAAAAAGCAACCCAAAAGAGTGTTTGAAAGTGCGCGAAAGCGAATATTCCCGTCAATGTACACGATTGTAGCGCTATGTACCGGGCCAAATCCCTTAAGCACATCCCGAATTTGCACTTTTCGCCAATATATATTTTTGATTGTTCAGATTAATACTTACAAATATCGACAACACAATGCCAAATGCGCCTTACATTTTAATTTAATTTAACACGTAACAAATTTAAGGGATCAGTTGTGAAAGTGTTGTACGATCTTTACATGTTTTCAAACAACTTTAAGAATTTTAAATTTAGCAACAGTAGCTCATGTGTGTACATTGTGGCCGGGAATGCGAACTTAGCAGTAGGAGGTCGTATCGACATGATGGAAACACTGCATTAAACCTTACAAGAGAAAGTTGTTATTGCGTGTTAGAGATTTGTTATTGCTGTTATTAAAATTATGATTGATTTTTCGACTGCAGGGTTTCAGCATTCCGGTTCTTAGCACCATCTTTGGCCGCTGGATTCCGCCATTAGAACGCACCCAACTCCTGGCCTTTGCCGCTGCCGGTGTGCCCGTGGGCATCGCCTTGGTGTTTCCCATTAGTGCCGGCTTCGCCGAGTTGTACGGTTGGTCCAGTGCTTTCTACTTTGCCGGGACCGTTTCCCTAATGTTTCTCATGGCCTGGAGCGTCTTTGTCTTCGACTCCCCGGAGGAGCATCCCTTTATTACCGGCATGGAGAAGAGCTACATTATCAGCTCCATCGGTGCGCCTGCCATGGGCGTCAAACCTTCAACGGTGCCGTGGAAGAGTATGGCCACATCTGGACCGTTTTGGGCACTTGTGTTGTGCTCGTGGTGTGCCGATTGGGGATCGTTTATGCTGATCAATACCATTCCGTTGTACCTCCAGGTAAATAATTATTCTAAAACTTTTATGATACTATTTAACAGTATTCGGCAGAAGCGGTCTTATTGAAAGATAACTAAAACTTTTATAGAAATTTGTTCTGCTTAATTTTCTGCTGTATGTACAAAACATTAATTAAAAGTTAGCAAAAATTCCCTTGGCAGTGTTGTTAGTACAGATACCACGATTTGCGCATTAGCTTTTTCGATAGATTGCTTGTAAAATTAATTAATAAAATTGATGGCGTTCAACATCATGCAGTTCAAGACAATAGTTTTTCTTCCTCATGTTTTTGCTTTTATTGCACCCCAAAGGTTCTGTGTGCATACAAATTGTACACGTACCAATACGTATGAAAGTATGAAATTGTACCTATGAAAGACAATCAGTCGGAGTCCGACACATGTGGCGCAAAAAGGATTTTTTTTACGATGACTGAGAAACCGGTATTAACTACTGACGTATTTTACGAGCAATGTGTCCATTGACTCTTTCCAAATTTTAATCTGTTGATTCAGTGGTTTGGCGAACCGACAAAAGCAAAATATTAATAAATAAATTATACGAATTTCGGTGAAACCAGAAAATGCATTTTGTGTTTTTCAGGGTTATTTCAAGTTGAATTTGCTAACCACCGCCGACTACATGGCCATTCCGTACGCTGTAACGAGCATTATCGTCGCTTCCCTGAGCTCCGTGGCCAACTACCTAATCTCCAAGGAGAAATGCACCCGGACGGTCCTACGGAAGATCTCCACCGCCATTGGCACTTTCGTCCCGGGCATCCTCCTGATCGCACTCTCCTTCCAGGTTTGCTCCTTTACCACGGCCATCACTCTCTTCACCCTCATCACCGGCTTCAGCGGCTTCTGCAATTTCGGCTTCCGCGTCAACTTCAACGACATCTCGCCCAGCCACGCCGGTCTCCTGTGGGGCATCGCTACGACCATCGGGACTATTTCGGGCGCCATTGTCCCATGGGTGACGCGGGCGTACATCGGGCATCCCGGTGCCCAGACACAGGGAAATTGGCAGAAGGTGTTCCTGATTGGTGCTGCGCACTATATTGCGGGTGGGATTTGCTACAGCCTACTGGGATCCGGGGAACAGCAGGTGTGGGATCATAAGGAGAAAGGGTTCGAGGCGCGGCGCACCTCACCGGAATCGTTGTGGGAGAAGTTGCGGAAAGATGGGCATTGGCGGTTTCCCATGCCGAAGGAGAAGAAATCTATACCGCCGTGGATACCGCCCAGTGGCGAGGCGGAGCTGACGACGGGAACGTTGGAACGTCAAGAAGCCCGGCGACGGAGCAGCATCGTGCCACCCATGTGATGGCTTTCTGTTTGGTTTTTTGCCTGTGAATTTACGTTGTATATAAAACATTTGTAACCGTATATGGATCCTTTTGTATTCCAAGTTTTCCAAGTGTGCCCGAAAAAGGTCGATATCCTACAACTGTAATTTTCAAACCATTCCAGAAATTGGGGACAGCGCTGTCTTTATGAAGTTTTAAGATCTGTAGCAGCTGCATGCAAAATTTTAAGTTTTTTGTGCTGATAGCAGCAATCTGAGCCCTTTCAAAACCAAAATAGCGAAATGGTATTTCGGCAAGCTGGCATGATGCTAAATTTTAGGCGAGTCAGCATCGACTCAACGGCGTTTTGTTAATGCAGAAAAATATTTACTGTCGCGTGTGCCCATAAATTTCAGAAACATTGTTCGTCTAATGTTTACAGGAGAGCTTGAACTGGTCCTACTCTATTATTTTTCGGTTTCTTATCTTCTTACCTTCTGTTCAGTACTTGTACAGCTTAGGACAAAATGGTCGCATACCCAACATCTCCACATTCAGTACGAATGCAGCGCAGTGCACTGTACGACTGAGTTCAAAATATCCGTTTCGTACAAGTGCACGCTTGCGTACAGAATGCTGGGTATGGGGCTATGCGACCATTTAGTCCTACATTGTACCTTACCTTACATATGTATAATTTTTCGAAGTCTTAACTATTGTTTTCTTTAAAATCAGCGCAACCACGTAAATTTGATGCATTTGTGGATTGACTGCTGCCGGAATAGCGTACGTCTTTTGTGAAGAGTGTAACCAGTTGACAACTGATACTGTTCATCGGCTCATATTCGCGTAACCGGCACAGTTAAAATATTACCGTTGTGCGCATGCGAACATACTCGTATTTCGCAAATGATTACAGTGTGACTATGCAAGTCGGCTTCCGCTTGAATGCCATTAAAAGGAGATACATCAAACATAGTTACGCTGTCTGCATAGCGAAGGTAACGACGATAGCTTTCTACATCCTTCGCATATCGCAATAACTTAAGGGAAGTGGCCCGGTACATGGTACCAAATTCGTGTACATGCACGAAATCTTTCACTTTCGCGCACTTCCAAACCCTTTTTTCTCTTGTTTTATGACATTCTGTCGCCAAACGATTCGTATACACTGGCCCGAAAACCGTTTGCGCGCGCAACATCCGGGAGTTATGGCTGTTCAAAAATTCCAAAAGTTTAAATGCATTCCGGTGTACCAAAAGTCTCATTATAGACCGATCAATTTCAAAATTTTTGAAATGCATTTTAAAATTTGAAAAAAATCGTGGAGTCTGGATCGGTGTAAAAACGATCTTCATGGCCATGTCCAATTACGTGCAAAATTTGAAGGAGATCGGTATATAATGAGACTTTTGGTACACCGGAATGCATTTAAATTTTTTGGAATTTTCGAACAGCCATAACTCCCGAACCGGATGCTGCGCGCACAAACTGTTTTCACGCCTGTGTATACAAATCATCTGGCTACAGAATGCCACAAACCGAAACAAAAATGTGCTTACGAGTGCGCGAAAGTGAAAGTTTCCGTGCATGTACACGAATTTGGTACCATGTACCGGGCCACTTCCCTTAAACGGCTAGAACTTAACAATATTACAAACTACACTGCAGAGTTCTTAACAAAAGGCTTTATTAAGAGCTATCCTTTCTTGGGGAAAAATGAGTTTATTGAGAGAACTCTCGTGGATTTTGATTATTGTCGCCAACCTTCGGCTGTCGTCCACCTCCGTCCTCCGTACGTTAACATCATACATTTCTCATAAATATGTACTACAACAGAGTCCTGATTGTTGATTTTTCAAGCAATATCCTCGGCACCACCCGATCCGTGCAAGGTATGTGTCGCTAGCCTTCCAGTGGCTGCAGATAGCAATATCTGAAGTTGGACATTGCTGTATTGTTATTGCAGGACGTCGAATGCGCTCCCGGAAACCACTGCAAAGTAATCGATAGTTCTCCGCCTTCTACGGAATGCCGCCTCGGTAACGAAAACTGTATTTACTCTTTCGCAGTTTGTTCATGTATGCCGGGATCGTCTTTCGTGCATTTAGTGCTCCCGAAATGCGACTGTACTGCAGCATCTCACGTTCGGTATGTCTTCGGGTTTCGGATATCAAAGTGTAGGGAGCAATGTCGAAACCATGAAGAATGCAGACAGAACGAGATATGTTGCACGGTGGATTGTGAATCAGTGTGTCATATTCCTCAAAAAGCGCGCTGGATTATCAGTGAAGAAACTTACAGTCACTTTATGTGCACCGGGACGAACTGATGAGAAATTACAAACCTTTTTTAATCCAGTCCGTTTTTTTTCCCTTTTGCACTACGAATACGACAGCAACTCAAGTAGAAGGCAAAGCATAGCGAAAATCGTTACGAATACTGAAAGGTGTTTGTGGTTTCAATTCATAATCTGAAAACTTCCCCAAGAACATCCGGCCGCTGGAACGGCCAACTGAGAGCCTGATAATCTATGGCTAAATGATAACTAAAGTTAATAAGCTAACTGATAACCATCACCGGCACATATTGCAGCTGCTTCCAGCCTTGAACTGTACAGCCCCGATGCAGTATCCTGTTACAAGTAAATCGTACCCCACCCGATTTTAATAGGAATAGCAAATAGGTACAGCAACAACGCAACTAGACTTTTGCTCGATTGGAACGATTTCCTATGACGCCATGAACGTCGGGGTGACGTTTTCTCTACCGTTCCTACTTACATATCACGTAATAATTAAGATATGCATCTGCATTTCCATAACACTCGTACATTCCCATATAGCTCAGTGCTTACGAGTTATGACCAATAGTCATTACACACGCAACAGCAAATAAAAAATCGTTTCCATTCACTTAGTACTTTGTAACATTCGGTAGCCTAAGGCACATATGGTTAGTTTTGTTAGTGCTGATGTATCCAAACTGTGTAATTTTTCCGCAGTCCAGTGAGAACGGTCATCAGCGTCATCGTCCTCGGATCTGGGCGTTTTCCTTTTGTTGCTTACTTCGGGAAAGTGGCAAACCCATAATATCTGTTGTAAAACAAAAGTCACAGGAGAAGAATACAAACCGCTTACACCCCGACACATTACCGATTCAATTCCGCTGCGGTTGATAGCACTTTCACCACCGCTGACAATCCCTTCGAGCCACGTGGATAATTCCGGTGCAGGAACCAGCAGTGGCAGCTCGTCTTCTAAGACATCCCGGAAGCTCGTGATCAGGTTCGGCGATGGAATGATTATGGGCGTAGAGGACATTGGCAAAGCAAGCTTAGAATGGCAGTTCACGGAATACGTACACCCCTTCCACATAAGCGCTCGTATGGGCAGTTGAGCGCCAGTAAATTCAGACGTCAGACGCACAAGTTTTTTCATAGCAGTGGGGATACTTCCGATCTGCCATTTACAGTTGTGGAAAATCACCATACACCGGGTGCGTCCACCCTGGGCGGATAGAACGGCGTCAATACAGAGCAGCATTTCGCCCAGATCATCGGTATTATAAGCGTCCTCCATGATTATCACATATGCGGTACGTGGCGTCAGTCCTTTCAAGAGGCAAACCGTAAAATGATAATACGAATGATCTTTCAACCCGATGCGGACATCTTTATACACGCTCTCCGGCTGGAGATACGCGTTCCACGTTGCACAGACACGCCGGTAATATGCTCGATCGTGGGTGGTCAGAAGTTGGAAGATGCCGACAAGTACGCCCAAGTCACGGTGTAAGCATGTAAAATGTGCATCTACCAGATCGGTACAAAGGTCATCGACATTTTTCAGATTGGCGCCAAGGCCATCAGCACCCGTCAGATCGGTCACGCGTTGGGCAAACAAAGCGCCTAATGCCATCCTGGTTTCCCGCAGCTCTGCAGCTTCTTCAATAAGCTCTTCCTGTCAAGAAATTCTCTTAATAACTATAATTATAAAATTAATCAGTACAAGTCATAGTAGTTCATAGAAGCGATTCTTTGCAGTAGCTTCCTGCAACACAAGGATTGCTGTAGTATCGCCAATATATGTGCCCTACTGCCCCTACCCGCCCTTCCCAGAAACAGAGCTTGTTCGAAGACCATTCCATTTTAGTAGTTAGAAACATTTTTTATCGTTAGCGGTAGAGAAATTGGCTACTTCCATAATAATCCCATTAACCAATGGGGCCCACTTTACAAATAGATTTACACACAGAGAAAATAATGGACTTTTGAAAATTATATGTGAAAAGAAGATTCCACACAGTGTTTTAACATGCATTCTACATTTCGTGGACATTTATTAGGTAGTACGTTCCAAAGCCGCTGCTTGTGAAAGTCAGTTCGAGACAACTACGGTATAACCGAATAAATCTGTCTCGTACGTAATGGTTGAAAGCAGAACTGACCATTTGTAGGGGCCTCATCGGCCTTTCAGTTCCGCGTTGCAAATAAACCAGGAAATTACCGTGGAAGGACAACGGATACGCTTTTGTTAACACATTCTTTTCCATAATTATTTTCCATTCTTTCTGCGGCTGACCGTTTAATGGGGGCGACACGCTCTCCGGCAAACGACATTGACGGACCATATATTCACCTGGGGCCACGCGTCGTTCATCCAGGTCTTGCTGCGAAGGCCGAAGACGGACCTGAGCTACCGGAACCACTTCCTTAGACGCTCTACCATCCGCTGTCACTTCCACAAACAACAGTTTCGCGAAACGAACGTGACAGTGTATGAATTTAGCAGGGTACCACGTCCATGGCTGGGCGGGGGTTGCCTGCAACAGGGCCTCAATGCCATAGGCCGCTGCCCGGTCCCAGGGAATGGCAGAGTCGGGGTTGTTGTGCCAGCGGGGAAAGGAACCTGCGCAGCGGAATGCCGACTGAAATTCAACGAGGTCTGCACGTCGATCGGGACAGTAGAAATCCACGATAAGACCGTTTTCGACGACATTGATTACCGCACCATGCTGCAGTAAGCCACCGCTTACGCGGACATCCACCATTCGCCACCGTTCAGGACTGTACCATTCACCATCTTCTCCATAAAACACGTGCATTCTGCGCGATGATCAGGATATGCAGAAAAATAAAAAGGGTGAGACTATAGGCACCCCTTTCACCCCCCGTTTGCTATAGGCACCCCCTTTTGCACCCTGTTTTACTATAGGCCCCCTTTTCCATTAGATAATTCTCGCACCCCGTTTTTTTCCGCGGACTATAGGCACCCATTTTTATTTTTTTTCGCCGAAGACTGATAACAATGTTTTAACAGTCTTTTTGTTTCACAAAATTTTTTGACGATCTGACATTCTGACATGATTAGGTCACCCATTCAAAAAAGAAAGGTGTGTTAGGCACTCCATCCGACAATTGGCCGGTTTGGCTGATCGGCCAGCATAGATCGAATGCGCACGGCATCTTCCACGCGCACGACAATATCGCCCTTTTGGATGGTTTGCTCGTTTGCTGGTTTCCGTCCAACGCGTTCAGGGCATCTTAGCAAGATTTCAGTCTCCAAAACTTCTGCTAGCCATGCACGGTGGGTGGCAGCTTTTGTGAAAATTGCGTTCTCTGGTCTGTGCCCTTGCACAACTTCACACTGCCAAGCGCAGACCATTGGCCCGCATTGATTCGTGCCAGGCAACTGGCGTTGCACAACCGGAAGCCTAATGTTCACATCACGCGTTTCGCGTCCGTAGAGCATGGATAACTGAAGGAGGATATGCTCCGGAAGTGCGGCGTCCAGGCTGTTGTATACGGTGACGAACGGATCCCCTTGTCGCTTATGTGACAAAACAAAATGATGCGCGCCATACAACACCTGCACGCATGCCATTCCGGCGTCAACTTCGTCCTGAATTCGGGTGACGTCAGGCGAAGATGGATTGCAGATCGCGATGTCGCCGGGATCAACGAGGCCGGTGTACTGCTTCCGGTACTTCCGCTGGCATATGTAACTGAAGGCACCTACTCCGCGATCGTACAAAATTCTTCCGACGGTCTTAACGTCAACCAAATCTGTGTTGTACAAGCGGATTGGAATTCCAGCACCATCTTTCCCAGGCTTTCAGATCGCCTGACTACGAATGTTTGGAACGTATCTCTTTGATACTGCTTGAAAGCAGCTTCGAATTCGGAAAACCCCGGGTAACTGTCCTTCAGGTCGTTTTCTTCGGTAGTGGTTGGGTAAACCAGGTCATTGTCAGATCGTGGATTATTTTCGGATGGGCTACTGATTACAGAACTGACAGTTCTGTTGTTATTACATTGTTATTACAGAGCGGTTTCTCCTGCAGCAACTCACATACAATGTACGACAAAAAGAGGTTGAACCGATCAGTCGGTCTGCGGTTCAAAATAACCCATAGACTTAAGCATTGATTGCAAGCCAAACGGTTATTCGCACAGATCCTATGCTGTGCCTACGAGAAAGCAAACTGGCTAGAATTTCTGTTGTTCGCCATAAACAGCCACAGGTTTAGTATCAAAAAGTTTAAAATTTTTTTCTACACCTTTTGATATGCAACTAGTATAGCTGCACTTTGATATTCACGGAGCGCGAGCGTCTGAAAGTAGTGAGTAAGCGTCCAAGTTTTAGTGGTGGCGTGTCGTTGCGAGGTTATTTTGAACCGCGGACCGACTGATCGGTTCAACCTCTTTTTGTCGTACATTGTATATATTACAAAAGGAACAGGCAAAAGATCCGGAGCCGGTGGTAAAATGACTTTCTCGAAAATTCTCTAAGGTCAACAAAATTCGGCCTTAAAACATAGCAACGGACGATAGGGGGTGCTTATAGCTTTCGCACACGACGGGGTGCAGAGATTAATCAATCGAAAAGGGGTGCCTATAGTCTAAGTGGGTGCGAAAGGTGGTGCCTATAGATAACGGGGGTGAAAGGGGGTGTCTATAGCCATTTCCAAATAAAAATGACGTATGAGCAGTATATTAAGGTATGAGCTGACGTATGAGTCTACGACGTATGAAACTGACGTATAAGTTTGCTTTCGCTGTGTACAGTACAGGAAGTAAAATAAGTACAGAAAGCACGGAGATAACCACAGAGCAACACCAGCAGAAGTTATACGAATCTACACCTGGTGCTTTACGGCATTTTGACTATTATAATGCAAATGAGCACGACTGCATAAATAATCGAACGGAGCGCATAGAAGGTCCTCTAATTTAAGCAAAAATAACAAATCTCTGTTCGTCTGTTCGAAAACTGCGAGTTAGTAATTCGTAACTTGGATACAGCTAACCAAGTATTCACTTAAGCATTTAAACAGAGTTTCACAGAATTACTGCGTGAAATAAAAGTAAAAAACCGAAGGAGCCGAATATTCGCATACTTTAACGGAGTTTGAGAAGTACAAGGAAGTACGTACGCTGATTTGTAGCCGCGTTTAGTGCCATCAAGTATATCAATGCATTCGAAACTGCAATTTTCTAGCCGTATATACTGTAAGTCTGGTACTTGAACACGATGAGTACACAAAGCGCCTGCAAGGCCCATGTCAAAAGCAGGGAGGGGAACAAAAGCAAATTAAAGGAAGAGACTGAGGGCTGCCGGAGTGCGACTGTACTGCGGGAACTCAGTTTTGGTACGTTTTCTCCAGTTGGTTATCCCAGTACGTTTAGGGAGCAATGTCGACGTCATGAAGAATGCAGAACGAACGAGATATTACGCTGCACAGTGGAGTGCGAATCAGTGTGTCGTACTCCTCAAAAGCGCACTGGATAATAATTATGTATAGTCATTTTATATGCGTCAGTGTGAATTTATTGTTTATGAGAGATGATACAGCTGCAATTTGAAATCCCATCGTTTCACATTGTGTTATAATAAATTTTTTGAAGCGGGATTATTAGAGGCAAAAAGGTCAAACACTCGTCAATCAGGAACGTCTGGATGAAAAATTTAAAATCAAAAATACTTGAAAAGAAGGTCCGCAGGCCGCTGGGAGGATACGGAGACCCGATAATGTAAAAAAAATCGCAATATAGCCGAAACGCAGTATCCGTGATACACTTTACCCACCGGAGTTTAATGGTTTAAACAACTCTCATTAAATTGACAACGCAGCAGTAAAAAATTTCGTTTTATACACTGTCGTTAGAGAGTAGAACAGCGATTTCGTTTCCAACAGTTAAGGGCTCATACTGCCGTCTATAGAAATGAGGAAATAATCTAGACACTGAAACTGGGCGGTTACTCCGATGTGGTGGATTCGGTGTCATCCTCCAACTTGACCTTTACCGTCCGCTTACTTTTACACCGTCGATCCCCGCGCCGCACCGGCGTGACGATTTTGCTGTCTTTGTTGCGTTTACCCCGCTTCTCCTGTGAAGCGGTTTTCCGCTTGCGTTTGGCGCTAGGCGGCTGCGCTGTTTGGACAGGGGCGATGATTAGCGGCTCGGTGGGTGTCAAATGCGATAAGACGGATTCGTTCGAATTGAAATGGAGGTGACGAGTGATTCCGGTTTGAAAGTTTAGGTCCGTTGATGTATCGGCGACTCTGCTGTCGTAAAATAAAATACAGAATTAAATAATTAACTCAATTTAAATTTCTTGGACTCGTTTTAACTGTTTTCATCTACGGCATAAAAGAACATTATTTTGATGAAACAGCAACGTTGTAGCGCCATAAATTATTTTCACATAAACCAAGGCAGTGTACAATCATTAGCAAATGCGAACCCCCATAGCCAATAAACTAAGAGCAGGGTCGACAAGTCGGATGTGAAATACATAGTATAGCCTACTGAATAGTCTCCTTTTTTTCCGTATTGCATTAATTGTTTAGAAAAAAAAATCATCGCCAGCGGTTAATATTTCTACACGCTGAGGCGTTTGATATCTACGCAACAGCGATGAAAATCTGTTGCTTCAAAGTCTGTTGATGTTTATTGGAAATCAGAATCGAGGAAACGTAGAGCAGTGATTAGTGAAGAGCAGGTAACCAATTTCTCTTGCTAAATGCCCACGAAGTTGTAAATCAAAAAGTGAATACATATTTATTTTCAATAAAATAAATTTATATAGCTTCTTTATTTTTTATCTATTTATCATTCCTCAGACTCTCTCTCATGTTAATGTGGGTTTTTCTCAGGCTGACCAACGGAGTCGCTTACACGTCGACAATTGGCTGCATCTTTGTACGGGCATGCCTTTTGTACATACGTATACATTCGACAACCGATAATAAGAACGCTGTAGATTCGTACAGCAAGTTGCTAGTCTGTTTATTTACTTTACCCGATAATGTTATGCACCGCCACGATAGAGTGGTCGTTGGGTGATTTATTGTTGGCCATCAGATGGGCTCCGGTCTGAATCCAGTAGTACACCGCATCCGCTCCGGCGATTCGACTGCAGTCCAGTCGGACCCGGTAATAGCCGCTTAGTGCTTGACCTTTCCGAACAACTGTAACAGGAGCGCCAAGTGAATAAATAAAAAATACTGGTTCTCCCGAAAATAATGATATCGCATACCGTCTCGGTGTAGGTCGGCGCTGATCTGGATATCACTGGCAAAGCACAGCTCGTAGAAACTCTGTCCGATAAGGCCGTCGGTGGGCTTCCGCGCTAACTCTTCAACCCTGCCGATGATATTTTATTAATCCTGAATACACTCGTAAACCAGTTCACCGGCTGTATAGCGTTCCTCTTGTCGACCTTGTTTCTATGAGCGAATGGGAAAATTAACCGAATGTTTTAAAATTATTAGCAAAATTTGCATCGAAGGAACGCCTAACTCTGAAAATTAGTATGATAAAAAATAATTTAGTGTCGTACAGTTGAAAAATTTTATTCGACATCCTGTTGCTGCACACTTTTTTATATGGCATAATCAGCTTTCTTTCAGGGTAATATCAAGAACAACGGATTGATAACCATTGTTCTACGACTTTTCACCGCTCATGGCGAAATTTAACACATACGAGTACACAAAAAGAGAAACATCTTTTTGCACGGCAGCGGAAATATAAACAGAAGTATAAAACCAAAATTATTCAGAAAAATGTGAAGATGTTATATAAAAAGTAGAAAGTTTTGGCTAGGACAGGAAATTTCCTGGTAATTACTGTAAATACCTGATCACTACGATATGTTTACAGTACGTACCTTAATTTTAAAGCCACGCGTTTCAACTAACCAAAAACAAGCTAGAAACTGCCGTGTTATCATTTATAAATAAATACAGCCGACTACGGAGCAGGTTTTCGTCAGAGGAAACGGCAACCGAAAGATTCACCTACTTTTGTACAGCAGATTGCACTCGCCGCGTCTTTTACCTGGAGTCGACGGAAAGTATTTTGAAGTTCAGCCCCAACCGCATGGTAAAGCAGGAGCGATCCACACGCATCTCGTTCATATTGAGCGACGGCAAGGCGCTGGCGCACATAACGTATCCTTGCAACAGATCCGGGAATTTCTCCACACCGGCACCGCCCTGTCGCTGCAGCATCTCAGCGTTCCAGGAACGCGGCCACCACTGTACGGCGAGGACCCGGTATCCCGAATACTTCATCTGGACGCCGCGTTTGGTCAACGTCGACCGGAAGCGGGTGCAGCGTCCGCAGCCGAGGTTGGTGGGGCTCATCATCTTCTTGGTTGGGAGGGCGTCCGGCTTGCGGGGCGAGCGGGGTTTGCGTTCGCGTTCGGTGCCTATACAGTGGGAATATTTCGGATTTTGATCAAAATTCCAGGTCGAACTGTTTGCGATGATTAATGCGGTGTCTGCACCGAGTTGTAGTGACCTTTCCGTACAATTAATTCTGGGCCGTACGTTACAATACGTTCCACCGCAGCATGCCTTACTGGTTAGATCACAAGAGATTTGTGAGGATTACCATTTCTAATGCTCAAGAAATAATGCCTTTAATTAGTATGTGGCAACAGGTCACATGCTTCAATTATGCAGCACAATTTTTAGAATTATCTGGCATTTTACTTCGTGTTGTTGATAATGTTCATAAGGAAATCCTTATACATATAGCAATTCAGCAGAAAATAAAGCAGATGTATACGTGCAACATAAATCTACAGTAATCGTAGAAAAGTGGCTGATGCTTCTTTCAACTTCTATGGTCTCGCGAGCTTTCACAAAAACTGCAACCTGCAGTCAGCGAGGGTTGGCAGAGTTATTTTCAAAATAATTTTTTTATGTCACCACTACGGTAAAATTATGCTAAAAGGTTGGCGGATATGTTCAGGCACTTTACAGATGTAGCGGATATCCTGTACCAGTTTCGACATTGCGCAGCAGGTAAAAGTAAGGTCGTATGCAGGTAGTATTTTTGAAAAAAAAACAGAAAGCGGATTCCGTTGTCAACCTAATCCTTTAGATCAACATTTCTCATGCTATTTTTTAACGATTGGAAAATACGTACTACGGAGAATAATAGATATTAAAATACCCACTAAAGATCGGCATCGAACTGACCCAGTCATATTATTTCATTTACCACTTTAATCATTAATTTTATCAGTTATTAACGTTACTCGTATTTTGCTGTTTGTAACTTTATTACAAATATGAAGTACAGCTACAAATGCAACAAAGAAACTGATTAAAAATGTTTTTAACAACGAGAATTTCACCCACTAGCGGCTGAATGCTCACTTGAATTTCCATTGGAGTAAGTGGCAACCTCATGACCTTTTTTCGTTACTGGCGGCGAATCATATTCTGGTTTGGCATCAATATCGTGTTCCTGGCCGAAATGGATAGGATCGAATGGAATACCCATGGCTACCGCCAGATCACTTCGATCATCTGCAGAACGGAAAAGGTACGTCCACGCCGCCAATTCACATTCGGCAGCGTTGTTAACTAACCGGGATGAATGTATTCGAAAATGCTGTTGCCGGTCAGCTCCACCTGGGAGAGGCCAAGGTACACCGATACCGTTTCCGAAATATACAGAAGCTGCCCGTCTTCCGCTACAGCCATGATAAAACCATCGTGCGCCTGTCAAAAAATTAAGTTTACAGTCTGTTTACTGTAAAAATGATGCTATGAATAGTCGCATAACTAGACACAAGTAGGTTGCCTGCACCGAAGATTTCATAGAACAAAACCGTTTTCCGGTTTTGGTGTTACGTTTTTACCTGCAGAACGTAAGATCCGAAATTAGCATCCGCCGCTTCGGCGGTCAGTTCAGCAGCGGACAGCTCCGTATCGGCATCCACGGCAAACGGTTGGAGCACGGCGTTCAAGCCGGATGGGATGGGTCCGGAAAGACGTGGGAATTCTGTGGACTCTAATAAAAAGCGTCGGCATTATTCCCATAATATAAACCTACTGGATTATCGATTTATCGCGATTGCTGCTAGGTCATTACGCTGATAAAGTTGATGCATCTTATCTAAGCACTCGATTAATCTGCTAAGCTTTGACAAAAATGCGATATAAAGTTGCGAACGGGTTTAGTAAAGTTGTGAGAAATACGAGTAGTTGTACACACATAGACAAACAACCGAAAATCGAAAGAAATTGTTTTTGTTTGCATTGTAGGCTTTCGTATATTTATCTCTTTTCTTCTCCATAAATAAAAGGACCGTGTACTACAGTCGATAAAAGGCGCTGGCCTAATTCTCATCCATTAACGTAAAAAATAAGCGCAGTCATTTTTATTAGGTACGAAATACAGTGCAATATCGTACTCTTATACTACAGTAAATTAATGTCCCTTCTGCGACCGTATTAGAAAACTATTAAAATACATGATTCTTCTATTTCACAAACTAAACCGCTATCCACGAACAACTTGTATTCTGGTTTAGCCATCATCTTTATTATTTTTGTTTGAAAAGATATCACATACTATCGGCATGATAATTTAAGGACGCTTAAGCTGATAGCCTGATACTGAATTGTGCACAAGGACGAGCAATACATGTTTAAAAAAAATCCATAAACAATAGCAGCTATTAAAACGGGAGCTGGCTGTGCAAGCCTTTACGAGGACATAACAAACGCCTTCGTTATAGCCCGCAGGCAGTCAATGATCTGCTCTAAATCTAATTTCGATCTGCACCCATGTATCATTGGCCCTACACACAGTGTATAGTGTATACACGGCACTGGATGTGCCATTGTACACCCAGCAGCTCCATTTGATTCATGGCATTCCGGCTCGCTCCACTCATGCCTTTTGATCACAGACAATTACTCTCTGTCAACACCGGGCATCTCCCTATCCCGGCCTAATGAGAATAAATTACACCGGCATCTGCATAATCAATATGCAGATATCCTCGCATCCCCGTGTTTCCCTTCCGTGACGACCGGCATAGATATATCGGTAGGGGATTACGGCATGACTGTAACACTTGATCTCCCGCCAATGCCACTTAATCACAGCCACAACTGGATTACAACCCCCGCGATTACCCCAAAACCCATCCCAGTCAGCTAAAGCAACACGTCAGCCAAAAGTAAACTTTTTTACAATTTCGAAATGCGACCAAGCCGCCTGTATAAATAACATCCATGACCTTTACGCTTACAAAATTCGATTTAACCGAACACCGTAATGTGAACTTGGTGTGCAGCAGAAAAAATTAAGTCATCGAAGAAAACTGCTTTTTGAATGTGTTTGTCATGAAAATGTGAAAAATGCTGCTGCGCTAAGAATCTTAATAAAATCTGGGTTTTTGCCGAACCCAAAAATTTGCGATTTACCGAAGGAGTTTTTCCCACAATCACGACGGGCTATCGCGGTTAACTTGGCCGATCAAAGCGACAGATAAGGATAGTCAAGTCGGAAAAAATTAGGCTTTGTTCGGGAAGACTAATCAGCGTCTAAACTCTAAATTACAGAGCTCGCTAAAGGCGCGTTTTACCTTGATGCAGGTTATGCTTTTTGGGAGGATCACGCATCCAGGGCGGATCACCGTTCGCACAGAAGGAGCGGAGTTTCAGGGAGCTGATACATAGGCGGATAACGGAGGCCTTGTCCAGCTGGCTGGTGATGGCCGAGGGAAGAGGGAGCAGCTTAGCCAGGCAGAGGAATTCCGTGTTCTCCCGCCCGCGGCGGTTACGAGCGGCGTCACGCGATTTCTCTTTGCGCATTTCGGTTACACTGCAAATAATAAAATAACCAAAGGAATCACGATAATTCGTCCGGTGCTATGTAATGGTCTTCGCGTGACAAACGCTTTCGTTAAACAATTTTGCAAAAAAAACCACTGAACAGCGCTCGAGCGTGCTGCTTCCTAAACAACGTCATGTGATCGAAATTAGTAGTTGCATTCATTCTGAACGTTTTTTACAAAAAGTCATTTTGCTTACTAAATTTGCGGTGCTTTTTTCCGACAATCATACTTCTCTATAGAGTCGAACAAAATTATTTGTCGCAGTGGCGAAATTTAATGGCTGGTGTTTGTATTCCGAGGCAAGGTTTTGGCATTAGCAAAAGCACTGCTAATGCAAAAAACTCGTATGCGAGTATAAGAGATAATATCCAATTTGAAACCAACACCATGTTTTTAAAATTTGCTTGTTTATAAAACGTGATCCGTGATATAAATTTCTAATCGTTTTTGTTGTATTTACAGTACACAGTTCGTGCTCTTTTATCATAATTGACGCTATTAAGAAACACGATAAGCGCAGGTCACAGGACAAATGTTTATAAGGACCTATATTGCAACCTTCGATTAGCCAGTTTGACCGCGCAACGTCACTCTACACAGACAACAATCTTATTTCTCAATAACCAGACAGAAAGCAATCTTTTCCAGAAATATCTGCAGCTTTGTGTACTAAGAAATATTAAGAATACTGCTTGGCACTTCCCATACGGACTAAATTTCGGACAACTTAAGCGCCACGAAAGAATGATAATATGCAGTGCCAAGGACAACAAAAAGCGTGTTTGATGCATTCCATACATTTCGTAAACACCCTGAAAGACGGTTCGGAACAAGCCAGACACGAATACCGTAGACGGTTTTCTACAAATGTAAAGGTCACAATGTCCACGGACATATTTCGAAATTCTTTGAGGAAGCCGAAAACATTGCCAACTTTGGGAAATTCTTATTAAACCCAATCCAAAAACACTTCAGGAATTCAGTTGGTCATACCTAAATTTGTGACCGATTTTGTACTCATTATGTAAAAATTCTGACTTGCTGAAATATTTATCTACCTTAACAAACATTAACTCACGTACGGGGAAACCTGAAACAGCCGAGCGCGCTTGTTGTGCGACGCCGACGTTAAAAATTAATAAACTGACCAAATGGAAACTCTGTGCAAATCTATTTTGCCTGACAACACTATATAATTCTAATATTTCTCTAAGAAGAAAAATGCTGGCAGATCATTCCATACCGGATTGTCGTAGCTAGATTCTAAATGGTAACCACGCGGAGCTGTAAGTCTAAACTCTAAACGCAACTTGTAGACGATCTGCAGACTCAGTTTCTACCGGGAAAGGTCACTGTCTCATTGCCGCATAATTACGCACCAGGGATGGATGATGTGGGAGTCGAGATGGGGCAGATGATAGACCGGTGTGCTGAAGTGCAGTGCGTGCACGGGGAAGACCATGCGGTGCAGCAGCACCGGGGTGGACGGCCCGTGCAGACAATTGCCATGCATGGTCAGACGCCGCTCGACCCCGCGTTCGTTGGCCACGGCCGGCTCATGTTTATGGCCGTGATTATGGTGGTGATGATGGTGATGATGATGAGTGTAACGGTTCACAACGGGCTCGCGTAATAAGTCACGGTGATCTAGCCGCATCGACGGACTCTCGTTGTCCACAATTAACACCATGATCGCAATGTATAAGGTTGTATTAAGAAAACGGGATCAAACTTGAAAGCGATGGATTAGAAATTCGCCGGAATGAGATACATGATGCGATGCCGACTGATGCGATGGAAGAAAGATGCAGCATACGCTGTACAGCAGACAGAGTAAATTAGCGACTTCCTTTCTGTGTCCGATGGGATTCCTACTTGAGCCTGATTGCTAATTGTGCCACAAATGGAGCATTGTTGCCTCATTAGGCACAATGTGCGCGAATCGCCATCCAACCAGTATGACCCACAATAAATTAGATATACTTTCTTTAATCACCACCAAATTAACTGCAAAAAATTTGGCGCTATTTACAGTTGTGAGTACCCAATTCCAGTATTCGAAAAAAATAGTTTTCCTAGAAATCAAGCAAAAAAAGCGTTGGAAACAAACTGATCAGCAAAAAAAGAAATTTAAATTTTCGTAAAGGGCCGAGTGGTTCCTATCAACTGTATCCGATGAAGATTCTCAGCTTTTTTCCCCACTATTACCACGCTCGTTTTGACAGCGCATTGCGTCCGTACAACGGGCACGGCAACGGCCGGGTTGAACTGGCTAATTTGGAGTAATTTGAGTGTACTCAAGTATGCAAATGTATTCAGTGTGCCCCGTCTCTGTAGTTGGACTGTGGGGATTGTCAGGGCACACAGTGCACAGAATCGTACACCCAGGGGAATCGAGATTTCTAAGGAGGTGGGCTCACGGCCGCCATCGACAATCAATGCAGCGCAGGGGCTGGTCAGTGTTGCGTCACACCAGCAGAGCCGGTACATCATCCCGCTTGGTAAAACATTTTAGCAAAATTAAGCGATACTTGTACTGATGAGCAGACGAGTATCTAACCAACTACAGTAATCGTTGACATTCGTTGTACGTTGTAACTTGTAAATAATTTTTTTGTGGTCCTTACGACGATCACATACATGCAGACAAACAGCACTTTAATCGTAAGATAAGAAACAGATTTTAAATTTGAGTCATGCTTAATGTTTGTTTTGGTGACACGCTAGCAGAGCATCAGAAGACTGCTTTTTACCATTAAAACTGACGGTGAGATCATCGAAGCCATTTTAATTTTCTACTGATAACAGCTTTTTTTGGAGTTTTTACAGTTTAAGTGCTGTAAGTGATTTAAATTCGCACTTGCAATGTTTTTACAATTACTCCTTCGAAGTAATAATATGATCTTACGGTATTGAAAAAGCAGATAAAAAAACGCCATATATTGTTAAACTGAAATATATAATTTAATTTCGAATTAAGCCGCTTATTGAATTGTGATGAATGGTTTTTTTCATGATCCACTGTAAAATGTTTTGAATATTTCTGATTATACTGGGCATAACATTGCCTGCATCTTGCAGCACATAAAGTAGGAAGTATTGTGTAAAAGTAATAACTTCAAAGCGTGCAGCCGGTTTGACTAACAGTATGCACCCAATTAGTGCCGCTTTTAATAAACTCAACCCAACATACCCGAAATTACATGGCGTCACGTGTCCATCCTGTCCATTGGCATAATCCAACGGTGCCGACGCGGTCAGCATCTGGGCATCGTAGGCCGGTGGCAGGGGCATGCCGTTGAAGAAGACCGACATGTCCTGGTTGACGTAGGGCGTGTAGACCGGCCGGACGATGACCGACACCGGGGTGGTTTCGAAGGGGTACGACGGAGTGGCCACGTACTCCGGGAAGGCCATATCCAGGCTGACCGGCTTGTCCAATGTCTGCACGGTAGAAGAGTCCGTCGAGACAACGGATTCACAGCTGGTTCCTAGAAGAAAGCGTAAAGAAATCAAGAAAATTTAATGGTGAATGAAAGGTCTGGCACCCTGGGCGTTAAACTGCATCCACGTATAAAAGGATACTATGTGTTTAATATATTGTAAATAAATAATAATATTTACTTACTTAGTTTATTAACATGAAAAGTCAGTGTGTGTTTAATATTCTTGATGAACCTACGGTATATTTGCTGTAAATCGCAATACCATTGCGGGTGTGTTACGGAGAGATTTATTCTATGTAAATTTAACACGGTATCTTTTTTGACAGTTTACGATGCACGTTGTTATTTGATTCAAATTCAATCCACAAATATACTCAACTTAACTGTTGATATAAGGATGATATAGGCATATAAGGTCAAGCAGCAAATTGCGTAATAATTGATATAATATTTAGTTTGATATACATAGTATTTTTAATCATAGATAGTATTTTTAATGATCCTCAAAATTAATGGCAATCATAAGTATTATTAATTTGATTAATATATGCATACATGAGGTCATATGTCAGTCTTAATGGAGACGGTGGAGAGCAAGGGCGTCAGCTAGACATAGTGGCGCCGTAGACTTGCTACAAATTTTTGACGATAACGAAGTCGCATCGGAACGTGCCTAACGTTAAGCCCAATTAACTGTCGTTTGGTCTTGGTCGCGCAGAACGAGTACCGGCTACTCGTGCCGAATTGCTCCGGTTGACAAATAATTAGTGGCGAGCCATTGTCCGCTAAAGGACAAGCGTCAACCGCCAAGGTTGTGCGCATCCTGCTGTATCTCACTTATACAACACAGAAAAATAAAACTCCGCACAATAACCAAGGAAATGAAATGTTGCCAGCAAAGAAACCAGTTGTATACTAAAGCTAAGAATATTTGAAAATTTTAATAATTAATGAAACAATGTCTGCTTGTTCGCCTGGCCAGTTAATGGTTGCGGATTTAATCAGTAATTCAGCCTTCTGACGGCAATCAATATCGTGCGCGTTTTTCGGAAGAGTAAGCGTAATGACATTTCTCAAAATTATTATTTTAAGCGAAACTGGACCAAAATACATGGTAAAATGGCGTTAATAAATAATTAATGCACAGAAGCTTCGAAGAATTATCCGCACAAATGATTTTACAAATAGAAGATAACAGCGCAGAAAATCAAAGCGGGAACCCACACTATACGCCGTAATTTAGATTTATTCACAGTTTCCCATCATACCTGGTTTCAAAGTGCCGGCGGAATAATACGATTGGCCATTGTCGTAATCCGAAATGCAGTATAATACAGTGGGCTGGTCATTAGTGCCGCCATAATAGCCATTTACCTCGCTCGATTGTTCAGTCGTGTCCATCGTTAAAGATCAACAGCGGACACACAAGTTACAGCAAACAACCACGCACTAAGAATAATCAGAACACGCGGAATACGTTCTCCAGCCAAGTGCCAGGCAAAAAAGACACAAAGAATTGAACGCGATGGCAACCCCAGTCAACACAGCGGACCATACGACACAGTGCGGACGATCATTAGCGTGCCTGGTTCGTTTTGCGGTGAAAGGTCACAGTTGATAAGGCATCCTTGAGAGCGCATTTAGATGCTCGCTGGCAACAAGTTGACGAAGCGCCGATAACGCCTGGGAAGTGGGCACTGTTAATGTGCATCGCAACAACAACAAACCCCGAATGGAATGCACGCATAAGCACACACACGCTCATATACATAAGTGTAATACATTCGTACAGCATCGGCTGTTGTCGTTGTCTGCACCGTTGCATATTATGATCATCATCTGCACCGGCAATTGACGCGCTGTTTTTTCTCTCGCTTTGCTCCTCCATCTGCATGTGATTACGCGTCTGATGCCGAATTTTATGGTGCTGTTATGAGGTTATGCCATATGCAAATTGGATCAGGTTGAATGTTTATGTCACAGTAGTGTTTTGGAGCAGGATATTACTGCCAGCCAACACACCGGGAATACGGCCGGCTGTGTATGCTAAACAGCACGCCAGGTTGTCTTTCATTTTCATATATACGAGCTGATTCATCCCGCATCGATACATTCCGCAAATGTTTCCTTTAAATGCACAATTTGTCCGATTGGCTAGTGCGGTTTTTCCTAAAACACTAATAATTAACAGTGACTCCATCCAGTTTTTATGATTTTTCACTTCTGTTATAATTTGTCTGTCTTACTTGTTAATAATAATAATTTGTCTGTTTTTTGTCTGTCTGTTTTAATTTTTCTGTTTGTCTGTTCGTTACTACTGTTAAGAATTTGTTTGTTCGTAAAAGTACAGAGAAAAAAAATTACTAAATTTTGTGCACAATTAAGTAAACTAGGAAGCTGCTTTTACGACAGAAAGGAATGCCTGGTTTAATCTTAATTGCTGTCAAACCGATACATGCTGTCCAAAATTTAAAGTAATCTGATTACAGTTGAAAACCGTTGTTTCGGAAAACTGCAACAGTTGAGTTGACAGCGGACAGTTGATAAAGACCTGATCGCTGGTGCGAATGAGCGATATTGGACAAAGCTATGGCAATAAAAAATGGTAATCACTGATTATCAAATGACTCGGTGGAGAAGTGACTCTCAACGCTTGCCGCTGTGCAGCGGTGCATGCTGCTGATGCGTCGAGTCGTTATCGTTCTTGTTGCAAAGTGATTTAATCAACACCCGGTGCACCAGACAAAACATTTTCTGCAAGGATGATGCATCTGATACTCGTACAAAAATGCGGACCGTCCACCGTATACTCTGTACTATACTACTGTGCTCCCGTACAGCAATACTCAATCTGATTCTCATGTTCTTGCTCCGATGAATCAACCATTAAAGTAGCTACTGAGTAAGTATTTTATTGCGATTATTTTTCCGTTATGCGTTCTATCGTTTCATAAATCATAAGTAAGTGTCTGTTTGTTATGTAATTTTTTATAAACACAGAGAAATCACCCTCCTTTCTTTCGAAGAAATGTACGGCGAAAATTAAGTATACCGGTAATCACTTCTTTGTCACCTTAACTATAATCAATGAATGAAGGTTTATGTAGAAGTTAATAAACCGTAGTTCAAACGCAATGTGCAAAGCTCACAGAATACGAGGATTACAAGTTCAACATTAATGCAGTTATAACCACCAAGCACCATTATAATTTAGTTATTAGGAGATAATAATAATAATAACGTCTGCACTTGCTGCCGTCACTACCAGCTGGGATTTTAACGCGGCCCCATCATGACCAGATGAAAACGAATAACTATTATCTAAAGTAAATAACTTCTTGTACCTGGCTATGCAGAGTGATGATCTGCTCGGCACCTATCAATTATGCAATGTTCTGACGTACTATTACTATATGTAGTGTTTTGTTAGAGCAATTGGTAAAATTGTTCGCTCGTGCCAAGGACTCGCGATCCTTTTTGTTATTGTAGTGTTTATCTTAAGAATTCGGCGTGGTAGTGAGAAAATTGCTTTGGCTCGTTCTGGTTCTCATTCGCAGGAAGTGGGATAGCTTTTCCTACCTGAATGTGTTTATTTGTTTTTATGATCGTGATGCGGCGAAACGTACTCATGTTGGATAAAGTACGTAAGTACTAAGTTCCGTAGTAAGTACCTGCAGTGTAATATATTAATAATAAGTAATACTTAGTAAGAAACTATGTGAATTATAATAATAATTATTATGTTAATGTAGTACACTGTCAATATACAGTGTTTCTACAGCGGTTGGTTAGCAACTGCTGCTTTAAAAAAGTTCGAACAACTCGTTTCTATACTGTAATCTTTCCGTTGCTCTACGGGCTCTCCTGAAGTGGTATCATTCGTTTTTTTTTCGCAATCCACAGTAAGAGGTCTTGAGTCTGGTGTGCTAGTTGTTTTTATCGAGTCATAATAGGTCGACGGAGAAATCCCAATTAGCATGATATGGTGTACTGTGACAGATGGCAAAGCCGCAGTACGGTTCCCAGAGCTTCGGACCAACCAACCAGTCATCCAAAGTCTTGTATCTGGACAAACACCACTTGTCTGCGCTAGGTAAGTGGCTAATTATTGTAAATCTGCGGAAGTGTACTGATATGTGTACTGGATGTTAACTAAAAACTGCCGGCGGGAAGCAGTTTTTACTGGGAAACTTCGCTTTGTTTTAAGATCGTGCTTCGATTCATTATTTTTTTTATCAAATATTTGCAGATAAATAGTACAGCTTAGGACAAAATGGTCGCATACCCAACATCTCCACATTCAGTACGAATGCAGCGCAGTGCGCTGTACGACTGGGTTCAAAATATCCGTTTCGTACAAGTGCACTGCACCGCTTGCGTACAGAATGCTGGGTGTGGGGCTATGCGACCATTTAGTCCTACATTGTATTATGGGTTAGCCTTTTAGTTTAGTGAATAAAGCATCAGTTGGTCACTTTGTCGTAAAATGCGGCAAAATCCGTTTTTTCCCGGTACCTTGACCGAGAAGTATAGGGGAGCGTTGTTAGCGTAGACAGATATTGCGCATAATGAAAAAACTGACCAAACCGCGTGAAAGTAAAACGTCCATTGATAGACATTTCATCCGATTGGGTAATTTTTGTTTTCTGGCGCTACCTGGCCTGGTGAAAGTCACAGCGATGGAGAAGTTCTTGGGTTTGACAGATGTCGAAGGCCTGATGTTTTTGCACTGCAAAATTTAAATGTGGAACAATACAGGAGGGAAGGAGCAAAAGCTAATTCTTTAAACAGTCGGATTAACTACCCGGCGCCCGGCAGGCACGTGTAAAACCAGGCGATTGCAGGGAACTTCCCGATAGGCGATATTCGGTCGGAATGCTGGGATAGTAGGTAAGCAGGATTTTAGCGATCGTTTGCCGGCATGCGGCTTCTGTCCAAAATGTCGGAGTGCCAGTCAGTAGCGGACTTGTTTAAAGCATATGTATACTGTATATGTAAAAACTAAGAATCTTTAATAATCTTATTGTTCAGGATATTTCTTCGATGCCATTTGAATTTATAAGATCTCCATGGAGTTCAAAGAGTTACGATTTTCAGTTTCGGCGCAGTGTCACTTCTGCAGACAGAGATGCCCGATATCCGAGGTCGAATATAGGAAAATAATCAAATAATATTATTACATTGATAACTGATATGCAAGATTATATTACTGCTTAGTTATTTTAATTGTTTTGAATTAGCCAGAACTTTTCAGTGAGGTACGAGGACCATTGGGTGCTGTGAACATACCCTGCACGATTAGGCTACGATGAACAGCCGGCTAAAGTTAAGCCGTTTGCATTCAGACTGTGATATCAGTGGCGTTGCGAGCTACGGCTGTTCATCGCAGCCTAATCGTGCAGGGTATGTTCACAGCACCCAATGGTCCTCGTACCTCACTGAAAAGTTCTGGCTACCAATCACCAACCCTAACTTAATTCAAAAGAAAAAAAATTCTGGAAACGAACGGTACACTGTAGATGTGGAACTACAAATCCAATCCTATGCTTCTATCGCAGAACCAAACGAAAAATTAAAATAACTAAGCAGTAATATAATCTTGCATATCAGTTATCAATGTAATAATATTATTTGATTATTTTCCTATATTCGACCCACCCAATGGTCCTCGTACCTCACTGAAAAGTTCTGGCTACCAATCACCAACCCTAACTTAATTCAAAAGAAAAAAAATTCTGGAAACGAACGGTACACTGTAGATGTGGAACTACAAATCCAATCCTATGCTTCTATCGCAGAACCAAACGAAAAATTAAAATAACTAAGCAGTAATATAATCTTGCATATCAGTTATCAATGTAATAATATTATTTGATTATTTTCCTATATTCGACCCACCCAATGGTCCTCGTACCTCACTGAAAAGTTCTGGCTACCAATCACCAACCCTAACTTAATTCAAAAGAAAAAAAATTCTGGAAACGAACGGTACACTGTAGATGTGGAACTACAAATCCAATCCTATGCTTCTATCGCAGAACCAAACGAAAAATTAAAATAACTAAGCAGTAATATAATCTTGCATATCAGTTATCAATGTAATAATATTATTTGATTATTTTCCTATATTCGACCCACCCAATGGTCCTCGTACCTCACTGAAAAGTTCTGGCTACCAATCACCAACCCTAACTTAATTCAAAAGAAAAAAAATTCTGGAAACGAACGGTACACGAAATGTTCACAGCACCCAATGGTCCTCGTACCTCACTGAAAAGTGGCTACCAATCACCAACCCTAACTTAATTCAAAAGAAAAAAATTCTGGAAACGAACGGTACACTGTAGATGTGGAACTACAAATCCAATCCTATGCTTCTACGGCTGTTCATCGCAGCCTAATCGTGCAGGGTATGTTCACAGCACCCAATGGTCCTCGTACCTCACTGAAAAGTTCTGGCTACCAATCACCAACCCTAACTTAATTCAAAAGAAAAAAATTCTGGAAACGAACGGTACACTGTAGATGTGGAACTACAAATCCAATCCTATGCTTCTATCGCAGAACCAAACGAAAAATTAAAATAACTAAGCAGTAATATAATCTTGCATATCAGTTATCAATGTAATAATATTATTTGATTATTTTCCTATATTCGACCCACCCAATGGTCCTCGTACCTCACTGAAAAGTTCTGGCTACCAATCACCAACCCTAACTTACACTGTAGATGTGGAACTACAAATCCAATCCTATGCTTCTATCGCAGAACCAAACGAAAAATTAAAATAACTATGCAGTAATATAATCTTGCATAT